TCAATCCGTTACATGCCTTGCTCCAGAAGACTCAACATGGGCTCAGTCCAAGTAAGCTAAGCACATGTGAAGAGTTCCACTAACCAGTGTGGGACACCATTTAATTTTTATTGTTATTAAAGAGCCGTAAGTGCCTGCTCCACATCCTCCGACCCACCCGCCCCACCATTGGCGGGAGAGCCTTCAGCCACTCTGCCCCCAACCTCTGGAATTCCATCCCCCAGTCACTCCGCCTCACCCCCTCCTTAGCCTCCTTCAAGTCCCGCCTCAAAACCCTCCTCTTCGAGCATCCCAGCTTTAGTTGTATTGAGACTGTAGAACAATATTACTTGGGTTTAGAGTTGTAAAGGGCAATCTCAGGACAGATTCCAGGAAGTTTTTCTTTATGCCGAGGGTAATCAACAACTGGAATAGGTAAAGGCCAGGAACACTGGCCTTCTTTTAGAAAGCAGTTTGATGCTGTGATGGGGGATGGTAGAGTGGGTGTTCTGGAGGGATGAAATCAGATGGGCTAAGGACTTTCTTCATTCAAATTGATTTTGTGTGGTGTTGTACGTTACCTTAAGTCGCGTTATTAATGGTGAGTTCGAATTTATGCCTATATAGGGAATACATTTGAACAAAAAACAAAGGGTAATTAGAATTTTTTTTACAAAAAAAAGGTGGTGTTTGAATCTTCCCTGAAATTCTGAATGCCTACATAGAAATTATTCAGGTATTTTCTAAGTCACGACTTACATTGCTTCTTCTAACTAAAACGTGTTAGCTTCGAACCTGGTGGCAGCTATTTAACATACTGGATCTTGTCTAAGGAGACAGCACTGTAACTCATGGGAAATTACCATAGATAGCTATGTTCTGTATGACGTATGCTTTACAAAGTGTTTTAATCGAAGAGGGAGATAACTAGCTTCACAGGAAACAAACCTATGCCCAAGGAAGAATCCGTTTTAAATCATGTTTAAGCTTGGAACAGTTTGCAAAACATTTTAGTGAGGTCAAAACTAAGGTAGGGCACTTAAAGTAATGCCAGATGGGTGGTACTTGGAGAAGTACTTGCATATACAGTGCTTCTAATGGGAAGGAACTTGAATCTGGTCTTAATGTGTTTGTGACAGAAGATGTACTTGGTGTTTTGGTTATGTTTTCAGTTGTACCAAATATTTATAAATATATATTTTTTAAAAATATATATTTGTGTCTTGTGCAATCATATTGCTAACTTCTTCTTGGTGTCTTTTTTAACTTCCTAAATCTTATAAAGGAGTTCCTCTTTCCCATACGTTAACCTGTGCTGATTGATGTATTTCTGGCACTTTCAGGTATCTGAATATTTAACTGAGTTTAGCTGCATTTGCCTGCATTTGGTTTCTTGTGCTGGATTTTGCTTCCAGTTGGGACCGAGCTAAATTAAATGCTGGTGGGTATAACTCACATAAGACATATCAGTGGGGTCCATAACATTTAATACGACTTGCGTGCAAAGTCCCAGTTGAAGGCAAACTTGTATAAATTATATAAACTCCAATGTAATCAATAATCTGCACTGTGTATGCGTAATTCAATGCAGCCGGTTAGTGCACCTGCCGTACTCTGTCATTGCAGCTGGTAAATTCAAATGTGGTGATGGATCAAGACTACATTTCCTCTGATTCAGTGCATCTTGACCCATTATCGCATGTGCACTTACTGACAAGCGTTGGAGTCGTATTAAATTATGGGAAATGAAGTTCTCCAGCGCATGAACTGACAGATCAAGACTGTTTCCCACAATTCAATTCAGCCGAGAATTGCGGGCGAAATGGAGGATAGATAGGGGAGCTAGTTACGAGTTAGGATATGATAGATTTCTTTGCGCTTAGTCATATTTAAGTGGTTTTGATAGGAAACTGAATGGGACTCAGGTGAATGTACCTGAGTATACGATTTATAAAGAAAGATTATGTAAGTTTTACTGTAGCAAATTAGCCAGCAGCTTACCAATCCTGCGATCAATGTTAGTTGCCATCGCGAAGGGTCTGTGGTGATTAGAATACTTTGGAATATACACCACAGAAAGAGGCCATTCGGCCCAACTGGTCTATGCCAGTGTTTATGCTCCACATGAGCCTCCTCCTGCCCTTCCTCAACTAAGCCTTCAAGCACAACCTTTTATTCCTTTCTCCCTCATGTAACTCTCTAGCTTTCCCTTAAATACATCTATACTATTTGCCTCAACAATTCCTTGTGATAGCACGTTCTACATTCTCACTGCTCTCTGTGTAAAGAAATTTCTTCTAACTTCCCGATGGAGTTAGACTCCCACATGGAGTCCTGTAGCTCAGTGGTTAGAGCACTCACCTTGCAAGCGAGACACCTGGGTTCAATTCCAGGCAGAGGGCGAAACCTTGGGCAAGTTTCCTTACTCCACACACCTAAAAATAATCCCTCCCAAAAACAATAATAAATTGGTCATTTTCAATCCACGACTGTTTGTGGGACATTGCTGTGCGCAATTGGCTGCCGTGTTTCGCCCACAAATATATGGTCAATTCACTTTACAATCTATTCTGTGAAGCGCTTTGAGATGTCGAGAAGACGTGAAAAGCTCTACATCAAATGCAAGGATTATTATTTATTATTATTCATTTGATATCTTTGTGACTATTTTATATTGATGACCCCTGGTTTTGGTCTCCCCCACAAGTGGAAACATCTTCCTTCTGTCTATCCTATCAAAACCTTTCATCATTTTAAAGACATCTATCAGGTCACTCCTTACTCTCTTTTCAAGAGAAAAGAATCCAAATATGTTTAGCCTTTCCTGATGGGTATAACCTCTCAGTTCTGGGATCATCTCTGTGTATCTCCTTTGCACCGTCTCCAGTGCCTCTACATCCCTTCTATAATGTGGGGACCAGAACTGCACACAGTATTCTAAGTGTGGTCTAACCAAAGTTTTATAGAGGTTTACCATAACTTCCTGCTTTTCATTTCTATCTTTCTAGAAATGAACCTCAAGGCCTGGTTTGCTTTTTTTACGGCCTTATTAACCTGCGTTGCTACTTTTAGTGAATTGTGTATGTGTACCCCTAGGTCCCTTTGCTCCTCTGCCCCATTTAGCTTTTTATTTTCTATGATGTATATGACTTCCTTAATAATAATAATAATAATAATAATAATCCTTGCATTTGATATAGCGCTTTTCACGTCGGGAGGACGTCCCAAAGCGCTTCACAGAATATACTGTAAAGTGAATTGACTGTATATTTGTGGGCGAACGCGGCAGCCAATTGCGCACAGCAATGTCCCACAAATAGTCGTAGATTGAAAATGACCAATTTATTATTGTTTTGGGTTTTTTTGGAGGGATTATTATTAGGCGTGTGGAGTAAGGAAACTTGCCCAAGGTTTCGCCCTGCCTGGAATTGAACTCAGGTCTCTCGCTTGCAAAGCGAGTGCTCTAACCACTGAGCTACAGGACTCCATTTCCTTATACCTTCTACCACAATGTACCACTTCACACTTTTCTACATTGAAATGCATTTCCATTTAAATGCCCATTCAGCAAGTTTATTAATGTCTCTAGCTTAATTTCTTGCAGTCCTCCTCTGTATTAACTACTCCCCCCAATTTCGTGTCGTCAGCAAATTTTGAAATTGTACTGCTGATTCCCGAATCCAAATCATTAATGTATATTGTGAACAACAGTGATCCCAATACCGATTCTTATGGAACACCACTACCCACCCCCTGCCAGTCTAAGTAGCTACCCTTTACCCCTACTCTCTGTTTCCTGTTTTGTAGCCAGCTTGCTATCCATTCTGCTATTTTTTCCCTGACTACATGCTCTGACCTTAGTCATTATCGAACGCCTTTTGGAAATCTAAATATATTACATCTACCGCATTACCGTTGTCTATTCTTTCTGTTACCCCTTCAAAGAATTCAGTGATGTTGGTTAAGCGTGATCTTCCTTTTTGAAATCCGTGCTGACTTCTTCATTATGTTTTCCGTTTCTAGATGTTTTTCTATTACCTTCTTCAGTAAGGATTCCATTATCTTTCCTACCACCGATGTTAAGCTGACAGGTCTATAGTTCCCTGGGCTTGTTCTATCTCCCTTTTTAAATATAGGTATAACATTAATTATCCTCCAGTCCTCTGGCACTACCCCATTTTCTAATGAGTTATTATATATGTGTAATAGTGCCTCTTCCCTCAATTCTTTTAATATACGTGGTTGCAATCCATCTGGAGTTTTATCCTCTCTGAGTTTCGTTAGTTTATCGATTATATCTCCCCCTTTGTATCTTAAATGTATTTATATTATTTTTGCTCTCTTTTACTGTCATGTCCACCTGATCCATCTCCCTGGTGAATACTGAGACAAAGTAATTATTAAATATTTCTGCCATTTCGCTGTCGCGGCCTGTGAGCTTATCTGGTCCATCCCTTAGTGGCCCTATTCCTCTTTTGATTTTTAAATTGATTACTTCATTTGTTTGGAATTGGTGACATCTCATGATGTGTGTGTGTAAATATTATATGGGTAAAGGATCTAATCTAAACTGCAGTGATTTCAAATGAGATTCCTTAATTATATAATCCAGATGTACCACATCCAGTTTGTGGGGTTACATTCTGATGGCGCTCAAGTCTGAGGGACTCTCCCTCAGATTCCTTAATAAAGAAATCCCACTGGTAATCACTGTGTTTTAGACTACTTTTAGGCTGTTTTTCGTATCTATTTTGTGTAGAGCATTAGTGAGATTGTGAAACACACTGCCAGAAGTGGTGGTTGAAGTAGGTAGAATAGATGTATTGAGAGGAAGTTAGATATACACATGGGAGTAAGAAGTGTGGGAGGGTGTACGAAGTGGGTCATGTGGAGTATAAGCACCAGCACAGACTGGATGGGCCGAATGGCTGTCTTCATGCGGTATAGTGTTAAGTAAATCTAAGCAAATATCAACTTGCATGTGAAAATGCTTCATTTTTGTTTTGGCTTTTTCTTTTCAGGAGGTTCTGAATAGGAATATTACCAGCAGCAGGCGGACTGTCGAAAAGCTGCAAGGTGAGGACAAAGTGAAATATTGCCAACGCTTGAAAACAAAAATCAAATTTGAAAATACTGGCAACAACAAATTACATTTGTATGGTGCCTTTCACATCAGGAGACATCCCAAGGGGTTGGAAAAAGGGAAGTGTTGTTTGAATCCCAAACAGCATGTGCTTTATGCATTTTCTGACTTTACTGCAAGGGGAAGCTCTTTCTGTGCAAATGGACTGACCTGAGATTACCAAGGAGGTATAGACATCCTCCAGGAGATAGGGGAGAGGAGAGGTAAGCAGAGTTTCTTTTGGCCTTGGCTGGATTTCTTTTGCAGTATGTGGCAATGGAATATCAGAATCGAGTCTGTGGAGGGCTGTGTAGTCTGGTTCCTGAGCCAAGGCCCTGCATCAAGTACTCAAAGGCACTGCTGATGACAGACCAACCAAACTCGCTCATTGCCAAGACTTGGAGGCCAGACTGAGGGCAGGGATTCTTCCCACTTAGCTTCTATTACCCCTGCAAGGCAAAACACTAGTTGAGGAGGGTGGTCCTAGCTCACAATAATGATAATACTAATCCTTGCATTTCATATAGCACCTTATCACATGTTGAGGTGTCTTAAATGGTTCACAGAATATATTATATTATAATATAAAAAATATGCACAAGCAGCAGGAAGCTTGTTAGACAGTGTACTCAATGGCAAGCTGTACTGTTTTAGTTGATCAAGTCCAGAAATGCCTTGGCCAACCCTCTGGGGTCCTTAAGCTTTGGCTCTTGCCATACTGTGCATAATATTTGGGTAAACCGTGTGCGAGAAAGGAGTGCACATTCCCTGTAAAATTTTTGCCTACGTCCAGATGTAGGGAACATTTCCAAATGTATGTGGAACACTCCCTGGGTTGGATACCAATAAGCATGGTGATGGGGTTTCCATGTGATTTAGACACCCTGCTGACCCAAAACAAAATGACCTATGGACAGAAGTCCAACAATGCGATTGGGGTTGCTCGGTGTGTGTAATTATTCACTTAAGCCTTAAACAAATAGTTGGAACATTATTTAGGATCTTTCCTGCTTAAATGTGACCAGCCTGTGTTTTATGTATACATTCTGCCAAAAAAATTACATAAATTCAATTTATTAAATTAGACTTAACCATTAAAATGGAACAGCATGACTGAAGGGCTAGTACTTGAACACTGAAAGCTCCTTTGTCCCTGATAATAACTTTAGTACGGTGCAGGAATTAAAATCAACTAAAATGTTTTTTATTACTTAATGGTTGGCATTCCCTCAATAAATTTCCAGTTAAATTAAAAATAAAATTATTGACTTATTTGGCCTCTAATCTATCGCTAAACATGCTGGGAATGATTGTTATTGCATTCCTATAAGCCAAGTGTCAAGTGGGGCCAGACGCTCTTTGATGCTCTTTTCCACTTGTCACAAATAGCTTGAATATTTGGTTACAGAGCAAAATATCGTCATTGTTTGTAGTTTTATTTGGCAAGTTGGAGACTTAAACGCATTTGAACACTAAAACCCTAAATATTCTCACAGACATAGCCATTGTCTTTTTTTAAAAAAAATAGGATTGTGCAGAATTTTAGAAAGTTCTTGAATTCATCCTTAATTTAATTAAATTTGGAGGCTGCTTTCTCATAGTTCTTAAAGAACATCAGTTGTCATTCTACCTGGCACTACAAGTACAGTAATAGTTGTTGGGCAGTGATTTAAATGTTGATATGGTAGCCTTGGGAACAGGTAGCAAGAATAGTTGGAAGGGTTTAACCCTACCCTAACATGACTATAATAGGACTTTTCGGAAATGCCTAAACCTGCCATTTTGTCTTGTGTTTGGATGTTAGATTATGGACTGACTGTTTATGGTCTGAGTTCTGGGTACAGCATTTGGAGGTGTTAGTACAGCATGTGCCTACTCCTTTGTTCACTGCCTCCACTCTGGCAACCCTGCCTTCTTAATATCCCCTATAAGCTCTGCCCCACCATCAGCAGGCAAGTTCTCAGTCACTTTGTCCCCGCTCTCTGAAATCCCTCTGCTTTGCCTCTCTCTCACTCCTTTCAGCCCTCAACCACAATCTATCTTTTTGACTACCTTTGGTCTACCTCCCTTCCAGATCAGATTCTCAATGGAACTTTGTAAAGTGCTTTTGAGACCTTCTCCAGTGTCTCCTATGCGTGAGGCTGTAGAATTGCAAATTGTTGTTGCTATAGTACTCGTTATTGGTTTAAAAGACAAGGGTTGCAATTATCAGAAATATGGCCTGTGCTCAGCTGGTGTCCTGGCCTTTGTATTAAAGGTTAATCTTTTTTCTTGTTGGAAAGGGAGAGAGAGAGAAAGAAATGGGATATGATCATCTTTTATTTAAAAATCTATGGCTACGCCACAGCCAGTGTTTAATCCAAACAAGCAGAGCAAGTTCAAAATTGCCTGCAAACTGTATTCTGTATAGGGAATTAATAGTAAATGGAAATGGGACCTTTTTTGGCTGTTTGTGATATTTTCTCTTTCTCTTTTCTACCCACCCCTATCCCCTCCTCAGATCAATTTCAGGCTTTGCAGAAGGAGTACAGCCAATTAGATCAGAAACTCCAGGAGCTGCAGAAGAAACTCACCTATGATGTGTAAGTCTGTGCACCCGTTGCGCTGCTGGTAAATCACCAAGTCCTTTCAGCCTATTTTACTATGATCCATATTTGTTTCTTCAGTCCAGTGACGTATCTCGTACCTTCTCTGGTATTTTAAGAGAAGCCTAAGATATTTTCTGGTTAAGAAGAGAATCTTAATCGTCCCTTAAGTTTCATTAAAAATGCTGCTGAAGGAGGGTATAGAGGCTTCTTTCAGAATCACTCACCTACCTATGTAATACTGAAACAAAGATGAAAAAGCTCTATCTTGTCAGAGATGGCCTAATTTTCCTCGATAATTCTCGTTGTATTGACTGTTTAAAATAATCTGCATAAAATATTACTAATGATATTGAGGTGCAGTTCATTTGAGTTTTGTGTTTGATGGTGTTATGGGCATGTTTGAAGTGCTCAATTGATTCTTGTATGTAATCTGTTGCATTGTTCTCTGTAAAGTTGCAGTTACTGGCTCTCAAAAATTCTTTCCCTTCTCTGCATTAAGAATTGGTAATTTTGTAAGAGCTGTGTGAGGTATATATTTGGTTTAGATATTTTTAAGTTTTGTCTCCTTCCAACTCACCACAGAAGTACTTGAATTCTACAGTTTGTTCTGGTGTTGACCACAGTAACTTGTATTTGTACAGTGGTTTTTACACAGAATAACAACTCAAAGCAATTTACAGAGATGTTACAGACCAACGTAAATGCCTCATGTTGCCCTTCCAAAGTCAAAGCTGGCAAATGGCACTGATTGGAATGTGTAGCTGTTCTGATGCAGATAACTGAACAAATTGCCAAAGTAATTCTCAGTAAAAACAAATTTGTGACCCACAGGTCTTGTTGATGTCTGTTGTTGATGTTTGTCTGTTTAGAACTCAGTGCAGTAATCAGATCCGTGATCAGAAGGAGCTGTATGAAGAGCAGATTAAGGAGTTGAATCAGAAGCTTGCTCAGACTGCAAAGATCCCGTCAGACAGCAAGTCACCTGAAGAAGCTGATCAGAACAAGATATCAGTAAGCACACCAGTCAGTTTTGCCCATCTTGAACTATCAAACACCTGAATTAGACACCGATTTATTGTGGGGTCTATGATTTTTTAAAATGGATGAAATTATGTGAAATAATCAGCCACTCTATGTTAAATTGATTTCCATTCAGCCTCCATTTCCTCTGTGTTGCTTGGCGCTGCAGTAAGTCCAGTTTCATCCTGTAAACCAATCTTGCTAAAGTTGTTCACACTGTTAAAGCGCTCTGGGATGCTACCTTGCGTGAGGGGCCCTATATAAATGCAACTTGTTGATTTTGTTGTTTTATTATATTTATTAAAAAAAGGCTGCAATGATATTTGTGTGTTGTGGAGGGGTTGGGCGGGGAGAGAGAATTCTGTATGGAGGGAGAGAGGTTTAATAGAATTATACAGCACAGAAGGAGGCCATTCAGCCCATCGTGTCTACGCTAGCTGTTTGAAAAGAGCTATCCAATTTCAATCCCACTCCGCCGCGCTCTCCCCATAGCCTGCAAACTTGTCCTCCCCAAATAATTATCAACTTCTCTCTTAAAAGTTATCGAGTCGACTTCCACCACCCTTTCAGGTAATGCATTCCAAATCCGAACTCGCTATGTGAAAAAAATTCTCCTCACCCCCCCTCTGTTTCTTTTAACAACTATTTTAAATCAACAAATCCACCAGCCAGTGGAAATAGTTTCTCCTTGTTCACTCTATCGAATCCCTTCATAATTTTGAAAATTTCTATTAACCTTCTCTGCTCCAAGGAGAATAATCCTAGCTTCTCTAGCCTCTCCTGATAACTGAAGTCCCTCATTCCTGGTACCATCCTGGTAAATCTCCTTTGCACCCTCTCCAATGCCTTGACATCCTTCCTAAATTGTGGTGCCCAATAGTGAAAGTGTATGACAAATATTCTGGGTCATTACCTTTGGGTTCTGAGTGTAACCAGCAGTATTTTCCCCCAGGAATGATTTAATGATGAAGTCCATGATAAATGAGGTTTGGGTTGACTGTAGAGGAGCTGGTTTGATGGTTGGAATGGACTTTGTTTCACACTTTTGTCTGCCTGGAAGTAAGTTGACAGAACAAATTGATTGAAGGCACGAATTAGAGAAACTGGTAGAAATTGACTGAAAGGAAGATATTTTTGAGTTGCTTTTAAAGGTTTTCCCCCAATATTGCTGCAGCACAAATATTGTAAAACAAAGATAGTCAAAAATGAAATGTGTATAACATTTTGAAAACCATAACTGGGTGATTGATGGTTGTGTAACTCTAATAGATGACCCCCAATGAGCAGACGGAACAAAAAACAACAGAAAAGCTAAAGGAAACCGTAAAGCCATCATTAAAGTCTCAAGAACAAACCAAGGAACAAGCAAACCCAGGAGAAGTTCAAAATAAAAATGAATTGGAAGGGAAGACCAAATCTGCAAAAGAAGTTGAAACTAATCAGATCATGGAAGACACGGGTAAGAATTCTAGAATAAGAAATGATGAACTCCATGACCTCCTGACAGTATTGAGGCTTAAATGGACTCACTGCCCATTGTAGTGCTAGGCCACACAGGTCCCAGTGATAGGTGATGATGAGGGACAATAGAAAATTGGGGAAATATTTGGTCAAAATTGCGGGGGGAAATGACAAACTTTTGTGGAAAATTGTGGGTTGTTGATTGGTGCTGTTGAGAGGTACATTTTACTGTCAACCTACATGTTTTCACTTTATTGATAAAGACTAAACATGAAGAAATAACACAGTAGATTGTTGCAAAAAATAAATATTAATGCTTTCTTTAACAAAAACTGGGTGCCTACTCTGGGGGTGGGGGGGGAGGGGTGAGAAATGGTCCATTTCCACCCCACACTACATTTGAAGGTCAGTTTCCTGACTGTGGGGCTCCAGGAGGTCACCACTTCCTGCCTCTCAGGGCCTGTCACCCCCCCACACACACACACGCACATAAATACTCACAGACAGAGAGAGGCACACGCGCACTCTTGCGGACAGAGAGAGGCGCTCTCGCGGACAGAGAGAGAGAGAGGCGCGCGCTCGCGGACAGAGAGAGAGAGACACGCGCGCTCTCGCGGACAGAGAGAGGCACACGCGCGCTCTCGCGAACAGAGAGAGGCACACGTGCACTCAGACACACTTTTCCACTGGCCCAGTTGATGACTCACATGCGGAACAGCAGTTAAGACAACATTTGCCAATGCTCTGACTGCTATCAATGGACCTCTGTGAAAGGGGAGGAATTTGGACATTGGGTGAGAATAAGATCTGCTTCTCCCTGCCATCCATCCTCCCCATGATTGCACTTCCCTCCTTCTGGAGTACAGGACAGTAGATACTTACTCTGCCTGTATGTAGTACGTACTTCAGTAGACGGTGAAAGGAGTCGAATGCCTTCAGAAGAGAAGCAAATTGGCAGAACATAAACCACCCAACAGTGTTTGTACAAAATAGGCTTGAAATGTGGTTAAATAACCGCAAACTAATTGTTTTGCAGGTGTCCTTGAAGATGCAAATGCAACTAGGGATGACTATGACGAAAAGTCCAGGAGAACTGCAGGTAACAGTATTTGAAGGTTGGATGTGTGTGTAAAAAAAATTACAGTGGAAGTGTCTAATGCCAGTTAACCTCGGAAAGGGGAAGGTTAGCTGTTATGGGAGATGGGAACTGTTCTTTATGGTCTGAAGTGGACCATAAGACTATAAGAAGCTCCACTTCAGACAATAAGAACAGCTCCCATCTCCCATAACAGCTTACCTTCCCCTCCCCCCTCCTCTGTGACAATCAGCACATCATCCTGGGTCCAGGTCACACCTTTTCTCTCTTTGGTCTGCCTCTGTTGCCCTCCTTTGATTTCCATCATTAACACCTCTTTAACACATGTTAAAGTCTGTCCTCCACCCCATTTTCTCCTTTGACTTTCTTGCCCTGCCTCCCCCCTCTCTGTTAGTCCTTAAAACCTCTCCCTCACAGTTCATGGACCTGAAACGTTGACTCACTTTCCTTTCTGCATAGATGCTGCCTGACCTGCTGAGTGTTACCAGCAACTTATGGTATAGTTATGTTTTGTTTGCTTGAGGACACCACCTTTTTTTTGTGTAGCGACATACATCTTTGGGTTAAATGAGTCCGCTTACGCTTGTACTGTTTTAGAAAAGTCAAACTTCAATGCAAATCCAAACCTGTGGAACGATGCTTTAAACTAAAGTGTATAAAATGATGTATATGAGCAGGAGCTAAAGTGTTTGCTCTACAGTATAGTCACGTAGGAACAGGAGAGCATTCAAATCCTTCTAGAATGTTCCACCATTCTATAAGATCAGGTCTGGACACAAATTTGCAGTGGCAAATGGGCTTCACTCAGAGGCCCCACTGTTGTGGCTTTCTGTGTGTGAGTGCATCTGTGTGTTTGTGTGTCTGTTCCTTTTCCTGTGTTTGTGGATGTGCCTGTGTGTGTGTGTCTCTGTTTCTGAGTGTGTGTGTATGTGTCTCTTGAGTGTGTGTGTGTCTCTCTCTCTGTGTGCGTGTGTGTCTCCTCTCTGGCTGTGTGTCTCTCTCTCTCTCTGGGTCTGTGTACCATGCTGAACCCTGAAAGCTCCTGTAACCTCACAAACCCCTCCCAAAAAAAGGTTACCCAGTTCATGTTAAAGAAGTAATTAATATATTTTTTGCAACAGACTAATGTATGTTATTTCCTCATGTTTAGTTTTTATTAATGAAGTGAAAAAATGTAGGTTGGCAGTAAAATAGACCTCAATAGCACCAAACGACTCTGCAATTTTCTACAAAATGTACCGTAAATTTCCCCCGCAAAATCTCACTGCAATTTTTGGGCAAATATTTCCAGACTTTTCTATTGTCCCAACTCATGACACGGAATCATCTGATCCCATTCAAGTGAGTGGTGTCTAAAGTGCAAAGGACTTTAATTTTATTCTGCTCAAGATTCTAAATGCCTGAACATCTCTTGTGGTTTATGCCATTAGCTCTTGTTAACCACATTTATAGCTTTTGTAGATCAGGTTTTATTGGGTGTTTATTCCAGGAAAACTGATTTCCTCAATATCTTAAATATAAATTTCAAGTTTATCCATGAACATTCTTGGGCAATGACAAATGTCTCCTCGCCCCTGCCAGATATGTGTGCATTTTGGTTTGTGCTTGTGGGAACCTGCCCAAAATATTAAACCACATATAAGATTGTTGAGAACTGTCCTGCTGGCTCACTGGGCCTGATCTTCTTTAGAACCCTGATATTGTGATGGGGCTTTATTTTTATGCTGCTTAAAAGTTCAATCAACGTACAGTTTTTGTAGCATTTACAAAAGACAAATCCGATCGTCAGTGGGTGCAGTGTCACTACTGCTGTAGAGGGAATTCAACTGAGAATGGGGACTGACTCACATTGTTAGAGCAAACTCAATGGAGCTTCACTCTTCCAGTATTAAGGATATTTTTGAAGTCATGTATTTTTCAGCACACGAATGAGTGCTGGGTTTTGTAGTTAATGTGCAGTTTTTCACCTCTTGGAGCTGTGCCTGTAACCAGTTTAATGCATAAAGGTGTACTTGACCTTAAGGATTCTAAATAAAATGAAGCTGAGCAGTCTTCGCATAGTTTTTGAATTGTTCACTACAAAAATGAATACAGGCCAGTAATGCAGAACTGCCTACAGTTTGGTATAAATTGGTAGTATTCACATTCTAGGGAGTGTTAATGTGATGCATCTGTTTGGGGTGGGATGTTCTTCTGTAAATTATGTTAAGGCGCATTGTCAAGTAGAGAGATCTTTACTCCATGTGCTTCCGTACTTTGTACCTGACCTAGGAGTGTTTGCCCACTCCCACGTCGGTGTCTTACAGTGGATGCCAAAATATAAATGTTTTATTCCTTCACTCTCAGGACTTGGAAGTAAGTTGCCTACCCTTTAAATGGAATGCCTGAACAAACCACTGTTTTTAGTGAACAACTCAAACTGTTTTTACTAAAATAGTGCCAGGAGTTGATTATAGCAGGAAGTGAGTGCGGAATATCTAATTTTATTTCTTCGCTTCACTGTATTTTTTCAATGTTCTCCACCTTCTTCCTTTACCGTTTGAATTCAGCTTACTTAGCAGAGCTGTGTTCATTGTTACTCCACTGCTGCATGAGTCCCTTTGCCTCGCTTCCTCCCTTGCCTCCTACAAGGCTTGTCTCAAGACCCTCCTTTTCGACTGCGCCTTTGGTCACCCTCCTACCCTAACCTCCCTGCCCCCCACCCCTCCTGATCCCAACCACTAACTAGGTTGTGTCCTAATCCCTGACTGTCCAGCTTCTTGGGTCGTGCTCCCGAAGTGAAAGGTGCTATACAAATGGAATTTGTTGTTGTTTATGGTGAGTTCCCTTCCTCTGAGAGCATTCACCTCACTGGGCACAGATTGCAAGTGAGTGGATGTAATGGTGAGTGAACTAAGATTTAAATGTGGGCCAGCTTCAGATTGCAATAGTAATATTCTCACTCCAGTGAAATGAATTGCTGAGGTGCACAGTATCTCTTTCCTCCTGAATTGGTTGAAGTGAGCCTGATTGTTCTGCAAAATGAGAAATATGAGGGTAGGCTTTAGGTTAAAGGTCAGCTAACATGCTTGCTTCCACAGAAACTTACTCAGATCCAGACTGTAGTTCAGTGAATGTCCTATGGTGTAAAGAGATTTAAATGATTTAAATAACTTCACTGGCTCGCTTAGTATTAAAAAAATGCACACGAGCTCATTGAACCAAAGCTGTCAGGAGAAACGTTAAAAATAGATTTATGCTCTTTATGTTTAATTTACCTCAACTATTTACATATCTGTGATCCAAATTCTTTAAAAAAAAAGACATTTTGGTTTATGTAACAATTTGTGTGTTAATTTAATCTCGCCAGATATGGAAGATCTCACGAACAGATTGATGAATAACTCAGAAAATGGCAAAACTGTGAATCGCAGAGATACAGATGAGGGCAAGCGTGGTTTACTTGACATGGAAAAGTCCATTGTTGAGCCAAGTTATAAAAAGTTGAGTCTAGGAGGAGGTGTGTCTGGTATACAGTTGAGTGAAATATTGTAAAATGGACTTAGGGTGAGGATCAAGAGAATGTAGCGTTGGAGAATGGAGCACGTAAAAATAAGTCAGTAATCCTGTATAGGAAGTGCTTTGGTAACTTGGTAGATAGCTTCATTCTTAGACAGAACATGGCAACTCGGGCTCCAGGTCAGTTGCGTGAAGCACTTTGAGACGTTTTTGAATTGCAACCAGTGGGTGAAAGAATTACAATACAGTATGCATTTATAGAGTTCTTTTCACATTGGGAGGATGTCTCAAAGTGGTTGTTACATGCTGTTCAGATCAGAAAAATATTCAGTGAATGTTCTTTGGTGTATAATTCTAGCCTCATCCAATATTATAATTGGGGTTCCTAGTATTCATTTTGTTTTAATTTATTAAAAACACAAGTCAGCCTGGCTCAGTTGGTAACACTTTGGCCTCTGAGTAAGAAAAAGGGTTGTGGGTTCAAGTCGCACACCGTGGATTGTGAAATCGTAGTCTAAGCCAGTGGTGGCCAACCTCTTTGATTAGCCAACAATTCAGTGTTTCTAGATTAACATTTCTTGATTTATGGCAGAAGTCTATGCTATCTTATTTCTATGATTATTTTGTTGGCCAACCAAAAAGGTTGCATGCTGGAGGAGCTACTTTTTCGGATGACCCATTAAACCAAGGTCCTGTCTGCTTGTTCAGGTGGATGTTAAAGATCCCATAGTACCATTTGAAAAATTAAGAGAGTTTCTCCTGGTGTCCTGGTCTACAATTCCCCAGATAAAATTGGTCATTCACTTTGTGACTGTTTGTGGGACATAGGTGTGTGCAAATTAGCTGCCACATTAACATACAAAATACACAGATTGACTCATTACAGTATATTTTGTGAAGCACTTTTAGACATCCTCCCAAAAATTAAAACTAAAATGCTACATAAATAAAGTAAATCTAGCCCCAGTGGAATTTCTCTCCACTTGTACCTTAATACAACTGGTTGAGCTTGATCTACTTAAATGAAATTTTCAATATTGAAGGCTTTTATATCCTGCAGACCTGGGATATAACTTGTGCACAATATAAAGGATTATGTTGTAAACAACCCCGTGTTATGCAGAAGCGTGTTGTAGTGGTATGTTCACTGTACAAAGATATAGTCCTCAGTTCTTCCACATATTATTTTAACCTATTCTAAATTGATCAACACAGCTCCACAAAAGCACACCATTCTGAATTGTACCTTATTAATTGCTCTGGCTCCTATTTTAGTGTCAGCCCGCACTCTTGGGAGATTTTATATTGTAATTGTCTCCTCCTCCCATCTGCTTGTATAGATATATTTAAAATAGCAAAGAAGCTGACATACAATACAGAAGTGTGGTAGAGTGGGTTGTTAATCTGTTAGTTACACTGTACAAATAGGGGCATGATCTTGTACAAGCACCAGAGCCAATTCCAACAAATTGCAAGGCTGAAATTAATGTCTTGAGAAATTTCTTCTACATTCATGTGTTTGTAGATTTACTGAACTGTTTTCTTCAGGGACTGAAACACCAGAAATAATTGCCTCTTATCTTATAGAATATTATAGTATGAAAATAGGCCATCAGGTGTGCACTACTGTATTTATTTTTCCCTGTGAGCCACCAATCCCAATTTTCCTCTCCTCCACACTCCATAATAGCCTTTAATCTTTTTCATGTTTACCTGATTCTTATTTAAAGTAATTTGTTGGACTTTGTTGCAATAAAGTTGTAGCTGGAATGTGTCTTTAAATGGTTGCTTAAAGTGTCCCACTTCCTTGAAACCCGCAGATAACGCAAACCAAGATCGTGATGAGGGGTTTGTAGATCCTTTGAAGTCGGAAGAAGCTGAAGATTATGATGGAGATGAAGGAAATGTTGCAGAGTTTGAGGCTGACAAAGAAGCGGAACTTGCTGGAGACACACAAGGTATCAATGTAGTGCATTGATTTTTTAAAAAAAAGTTAACAAATGTGTTAATTATTTCTCATTCTTTCACCTTCCGCAACAACTACTTGCATTGTGCCCTCAACACAGCAAAGCTTCTCAGAGCTCTAAGATCTGAGTGCACAGTCACAGAATTGACTTAAAACAGTTGTGCGATTGGAATTAGGAATTTCTCAGGTTGGAAGAAGGCTTTGGTTGGCAACCCCAGGGGTCTGCTTCAGGCTCTTTGTTATTTTTAATACATTTATACAAGCATGTGGGAGGAGGAGAGGAAAATCTCCCAAGTGAGAGGGCCGATGCCAAAATAGGAGCCAGAGCAATTAATAAGGTAAAATTCAATCCGATTCAGAATGCTGTGCTTTTGTGTAGCTGTGTTGATGGATTTAGAAGTGGTTTATAACATGAATAGGTTAAAATAATATGTGCAAGAACTAGGGACTCTTATGTTAATAGAATGTACTACAGTGTACTGATAATGAGGGAGAGATCCAGTAGTCATCTCTTTGGAGTTTCTACCTTTCAGCCTTGCTGCCCTGCTCTCTGGAACTCCATCCCAGAGAGCCTCCATCTTTTCCTTCCCTCCCCTCCCTAAGATTTGTCTATACGATCCACTTTGAGTCACCATCTCATCCTTTTCCTCCCCCACCCACCCCGCACCCAGGCTCCTGGTCAGCTGTGGTGAAGTACCTTTAGTTATTCTAACATGAAAGGTGCTGTGTAAGTGTAAATTGTTGTCTGCAGCTCGTGTACTGTCCCGCACCAGGCTTCGGGACCACATCACTCCCACCCTCGCTCGCCTCCACTGGCTCCCCATCCCCCAGAGGATTGATTTCAAGATCCTCATCCTCACCTACAAGGCCATTCACGGCCTTGCTCCCTCCTACCTCTCCAACCTACTATCCCCCTACCTACCTGCCCGTACCCTCCGTTCCTCCGGCTCCGGTCTGCTCCACGTCCCCCGCCCCAACCGCCCTACCATCGGTGGTCGGGCCTTCAGCCTCTCAGCCCCCAGGCTCTGGAACTCCATCCCCCAGTGCCTTCGCCGCCTCCTCCCTTTCCTCCTTTAAGGCCGGTCTCAAAACCTTTCTCTTTGACCGTGCCTTCAGCTCCCCTCTCGACTCTCTTCCCCCTCCTTGCTCCCTCCCTTCCCTCCCCTCACCCTGACCATTTCCCCCCTCCTCGCTCCCTCCCTTCCCTCCCTCACCCTGACCATTTCCCCCCTCCTCGCTCCCTCCCTTCCCTCCCCTCACCCTGACCATTTCCCCCCTGCTCGGGTCATGACCCAACTGTCCAGCGCCTTGGGACGTCCTCCTGACGTGAAAGGCGCTTTATAAATGGAATCTTGTTGTTGTTGTTGTTGTTGTCGCTAAGTGAAACGTAAACTGGAATTAATTTTTTGACATGCTGCTGACAAGAACCCTGCATTTATTTTAAACTTCCAACAGGCCAGGGGATCAAAGATCTGAAGAAAATTGAACAAGATAAAAATGACCAAAAGCTTAAACAGATACTATGAAGAAAACACACCTTTGATATCCTTTTTACCCCGGTTTAACGCAACATTGGCTGATGTTACAATTTTATACGCTTTAATGAAGTAATAGTGTTGCCCACAAAGGGTCATGACTTTGGGAAAAACTAGAGCTTGTGATAATCACGAGTGAGCTTCCGGTGACTAGGGTTCACGTACTGTAAGTGAAGGGGATTGGAGATTATCCAGCTGGTTGAAAATCTATGTTTGTTTGAAACTCTGATTGAGGTAACAAAGCCTGTATTAAGCATTCGCTTGGGATCAGTCTAAATTATGTGATTTAGATAATAGGCTGAGTGTGTTTCGGTTTATGGCCTAAATTCTGTTGCCATGGCGGGTTTGAATGGTGATCATAACCATCTTTAACATGTCTCCTTAATCCGGGCGCATGTTTGCTTCATACGTGTTAGTGTCATTTTTACAGGTGACGGGTGTTAAATGTAGAATTATTTGTTTTGTCTCTACAAATATTACAGAGAATTGTCTTTTTTCAGATGTTGCGTGCTGTACTTGTTTGAAAAGGTTGTTCAGCACTGAATGGGTTACTAAAGTGGCCAGGTATCACATGAAGATTTTACACGCGTGTAAAGCGGAAAGGCTGCCTGCAGAAATGCAGTGTGCCTTGTAGTGTTTGTTTAAATGGTTTTCCTATGATAGCAAATTTATTGGTGGAATTGTATTTGGAAGTTATGGAAAAAGTCATTAACTTACCAAATATGTTCAGTATGAGAATTGCTTATCACCTGCATTTTAAGTGTGTGGCGGAGGGGAGGAAAGAAAATACATTTTTAAAAAGATTTTAGGCTAAAACTGTTGACCATGCAACAAGAGTTGGAAAGGATATTCTGGTAATCTTGCCTTTGTAAACTACAGTACATTTTGGAATGACAAATGCATTTTTCTGTGAATCCGAGAAATCATAATGTAATTCAACTCTGACCCCCAAAATTTACGCAGGTGGTCTTATTTTCATGCATGCTAAACCTGGGCAGGAGGAGAAATTATAAAACGTTTTTCCTGCATCCTTCTCAAGATCTATGAGCACAGATGTAATAGTTTTAAAAGCAAGCAGATTTGATGTTTCTAGTATGTACAATTTTCAAAAATTCTTACAGCTTTAGCCTGGTAGTTTTTAATGTCCTGATTTTTACATTTTTGGCCACTTTTATTTTTTTCATTCCTTCCTCCCATTACATTTTCTACATCTGAAAAACGTGTGTACTTTTGTCGTAATTTACAGCTGGTGCCTTTGAAGGGGAAAATAAGTTGTGCAATTGATTTAGCTTCATAAATTTATAGAAATGTTTAAGGTGACATTATCAACAATGATGTCCTCCCTGTTGAGCCAATGAATGTGAAGTTACTGCTGTGCTAATGGAAGCTCTTCATTGATCTGGACCTAGGTGGTTGGTATATGTAGCTTTCAAGATTTGGGTGGGCTTGGGACTTTCCATTAGCTATTTGAATTGTTTTCATTTCAGTCGAGAGAGGTGAAATTCATGATCCCCGAGTTGAGCTGGAATTTACAACGCTCAATTCTCCATTACGAGTCACAAAGGAATGGTTTTGTTAGGTTACCTTCAAATGCCCCATGGAATTTATCAAATATGAGCAAACCAGTAGTCAAGATTGTCATTCAAGTTAAAATCTCTGGTTGGCTGACCAATACTTTACGTATCTGGATGTAAAAGTGTTAATGTTTTATTTTAAGTGGTAACTTATTATTGGAATGCAAAATATATGAATTTCCAAATTTGTTCCAAGTACTTGAAATCGTTTTCTCAATTTACTTAATAAAAAAAACTCTTAAGCAAACATTTGTGTCCTTGTTTATGAAATTTCATTCCACTTCAAGATATTTAAAATGTTTTATTATATAAAATCAACGTCTCACAGTTGAATTGAAATCGATTAGATTGATAATTCTGCAATTATCAATTTTCATTTTGTTCACATACAAAGTAGTGTCAATCTGGCTCATTCAGTGGCATTGTCATCATTGGGTCAGAAGGTTGTCGGTTCAAGCCCCAATTTAGGATTAGGTGATCTTAGTCTATAGACAAACATTCTGCTTCAGTATTTGTGGAAAGCTGCATTGCCAGATCGTCCCTTTTTCTATTGAAATGTTAAATTAAGGTCCTCTCTATATCAGTTGGATGTCAAAGATCTCATAATACTACTCGGAAAGAGAAGTAAGTGACCCAGTATCTTGGTCATTCAACTTGTTAGGAATACTTTGCTAAGTGTAAATGGCTGCTGCATTACAACACATTGTATTTATATAGCTTCTTTCACATTGGAAGGACGTCGCAAAGCCCTGAACAGTAAAGGGTTTGCACCCGAGCTGGGGGTTAGAATCAAAAGGGGTGGAGGACAAGCCCTTTATGCTTAGTCTCTACAGTTGATTGTAATTTCCGTTAAGTTAAAAGTTTAACTTTCAAAACTCTGGTTTCATTAATTGTACTCCACATTGGGTAAAATGTGTATGTAGAGAAACCTTCAGTATTTCAGCTCTTCCCCCATTAACTGACCACATGGTGTGCTATTTTGTGCATTGATTCGGGACAGGAAACTGTGTATTTGAATTTGTGTGAAAAGAGTATTCTGCAATACAAAGCAACATGATCAATCCTTACTTAAACTTTGGGCTTTATTAATTGTGGGTGATTATCTGAGGACTTGCACTTGTTTGAGAACATGTCATGGACAATCCAATACCCCATTAACAGAGCCCTTCAGATTTAGTGATGTGTCAGGTTCATTTACTAACAACAGTTTCTGAGCTTACATTTTAAAGACTAATATTAAAAAACTTATAGGGAATGAAGACTTCTCAACTGCTGCCACCCACTGTTAGCATTGAGTACAGGACAGCTGACATTAAAAACTCTTCTATTCCAGAGAAATGTCCTCTACACCAATGTGACTTTCTATTTCCCTACAGACCAAATCAATATGTTTTGATTTATATTATTTTTTCTCTGGTATGTTTGGATCAGATCTTGTTAATACATGAGCCCTTTTTGAAAGCAGGGTGAACAATATGAAATCAGGATTAACTTATTTCGATAAAACTGTGAGGGCTAACTGGGAGATATTACTGAGTTTGCCAAAGTGTGAGGGAATTAAGTTAATAGTTGACATTTGAGATTGCTGAAGTATCTGTTGTTAATGATCATCTCAACTGAGATTTCACCCCTGTCTGGTTTGGTAACTCTTTCAAGGCACTGTTAAGCTTTATTTACTTTTTTTCACAAATATAATATTCTATGATTATAAAATTAAACTATGAAATTGAATGGATTATTGGTTCCTACAATTACATAATTAAGGATACATTGAAAACCATATGGTTTGTACATATCCCAAATTAGACTCCAATAACGCATAGCAATTGAAATTTTTTTTTCAAATAATTTAGCTTTACATGGAAACAGTCAGCAAATCTCTCACATTAAAAGTTGACTGCACAATGTCTAGTCAAATAGTGCTTACACCTTTGCTGTAACAGCTATGGGAATAGGATATTTAGGGTTATCAGCCCACACTGATTCAATGTATAGCAGATGCTCAACTTTTAGTTTGACTGAAGCATAAGTAATAATAATCCCTGCATTTGATTATAGTGCCATATCATGTCTTTGAGACGTCTCAAAGCACTTCACAAAATATACTGTATAGTGACTATATTTTGTGGTTGAAATGCGGCAGCCAGTTGCGCACAGCGGTGTCCCACAAACAGTTGTGGATTGAGTGAGCAATTTATTATTGTTTTGAAGGAATTATTACCTTTGCCCAATGTTTTGCCCTGCCAAGAATCAAACCCAGGTCTCTCGCTTGCGAGGGGAGTGCTCCAACCACTGAGCTACAGGACTTTCCATGTAAATGATGCTGTATGAACATTGTAAAATGTCACATAAATAGAAGATGCTGTTTGAACTAACCACTGATTACATAAATCTCAAATGATTATTTTCTGGTGTTCCTGTTTTTAGACTGTTGCAGTGCCATTCAGCCCAGACAATCTTTGCCAGCGTTTATTCTCCACATGAGCCTTAACCCTTTCTATTCTCTATTCCTGCATATGCATTAAGTTTCTTCTTAAATATGGCTGATACTTTCTGCCTCAGCTTCTAGCTCAGTTCCACTTTCTTGCCACAAAGAGGTTCATCCCAACCTCCTATCGGCCTTATTTTAGACTTGACAGCAAGTGCAAATGGCATATTAATGTCCTTTTTATCAAATCCTTTCAGTTTCAAACACCTCTTTCAAGTGCCATCTCCAGAGAGAAACTTAACCTATCAAACTTTCCTGACAGCTCTACTCACTTACCCCTGGTAACTGCAAAGTAAATCTACACTACACACTTTCCACTACTACAATATCCTTCCTGTAGTACGGTGACCTGAACTACACAGGATTGCAAATGTGGTTGAACAAAGGTTTTATATAAATTTTACTTCCCTACTTTTGTACTCTCACAAGTTTTTGTAGCTGATGTATAATCTCAGTTGTAGATGCATTATGTGAATCCACATTTCCTACAGACACTTCTGGATAATAATAATAATAATAATCCTTGCATTTGATATAGCGCTTTTCATGTCAGGAGGACGTCCCAAAGCGCTTCACAGAACACACTGTAAAGTGAATTGACTGTATATTTGTGGGCGAACGCGGCAGCCAATTGCGCACAGCAATGTCCCACAAACAGTCGTAGATTGAAAATGACCAATTTATTATTGTTTTGTTTTTTTTGGAGGGATTATTATTAGGCGTGTGGAGTAAGGAAACTTGCCCAAGGTTTCGCCCTGCCTGGAATTGAACTCAGGTCTCTCACTTGCAAAGCGAGTGCTCTAACCACTGAGCTACGATGGAGATATTTGCATTTTTGTTCATACTTGATCTGGTGTTTTGGTAGTATGCTCTTGTTTATATGCAAGCACAACATTCATATGAAGCCAGAAATGTTTTATAAGATTTATTTCTTCTGGGAGGGGGGGCAGGGCAATGGTGAATGAATTTCATGTTCTTCACTGTGTTGAACGACTGCTGAGAATGGAAGGTTCCAGCCTCTGCTCCAGTATGAATTCCAAACATTTTAGTAAAAGGTCACACTGTTAACACTGCACAACAGCACATACAAGGCAATGCTGCTTATGTGCCTCAGTCATCTTCTACTTCTCCGGAGTGAAACATTTCAAGTCCTCAATTTCAACTGTTCTCTTCATTTGAGTCAGACTAACTTCACGATTGGAAAATATTTGTGAACAGAAAAATCAAATTCTGGAGGAACCTTAAAAAAAGCAAAATAAATATATAATACTTAAACAGTGATACATAACTAACTAGTGTGATTTCAAACAGTGCAGAATTCCATACTGCCTTGCTAAATGAAGATGAGATACATTTGTGTTCAGCCTAGATTTTATGCATTTCTCTTTCTATGGAGATATTCATAAATAACAAAACAAATACAGAATACTCATTCTGCCTGGAGTTTGAACATTTAATTGGGAACAGAACAATCTTTTAAAAGATCCTGTCCTGAGAAGAAAGGCAAGTTGTTTTCCTGATTTTGATTGATTATTTCCAGTTCTAGTCAAAATCAGCTAATACAGCAGAAACTAGAAATATAACCTGGGATTTTCGGCAACAACAATGCTATTTGAAAGGGTGACCCGAGAGGATAATTCTCATTTACAATTAGGATTCAAAAAAGTGCTGCCTTCTGTATTTGATCATCATGCAAGAGTATTTGAATTAGAAACAGTGACAGCAGGATGAGGGGAAAACAGGGATAGTGACAAAGCAATGATTGTTGCCATATACATTAATAGTTCCTAATATACTCATGAACAAAATAGAACCATCAGGATCATTTCAGTACTTACCTTAGATTCTTTCTTGTGGCCTCCTGCAAGCAACTTCATTACCACAATATTAGGTTTTGCAACTTTCAGAATTCGATTTACCTGAAAAAACAAAGTGCACCCTCAAAACAATGTTTTAAAAACCTATAAAATGAATCAAGGATGAACACACTCCAATATAAAAAGATTTCATGCCAAGATTAGGAGGAAACATCTTGTATTCAAGCCATGACCCGCTCTGCCTTCCCTCACCTCCGTAACATCACCTGACTCCGCCATTACCTCAGGCCGCTGAAACTCTTGTTCATGCCTTCATCACCTCCAGGCTCGACTAAGCAAATGTCTGCTTGTCGGCCTTCCCAACTCCTCCCTCCACAGGGCTGTAGATAATCCAGAACTCTGCAGCCCGTGTCCTCTCCCGCACCAAACTCGTGATCCCATCTCCCCCATTCTCGCCCGACTCCACTGGCTCCCTATCCTTCAGAGGATTCAGTTCAAGATTCTGGTCCTCACCTACAAAGCCCTCAATGGTCTCGCCCCACCCTATCTCTGTGACCTCCTAACCCCCTACCAACCCGCACGCTCCCTCTGCTCAGCCGGCTCTGGCCTGCTCCACGTCCCGCTCCCCGCCTGCCCCACCATTGGCGGGAGAACCTTCAGCCACTCTGACCCCAACCTCTGGAACTCCATCCCCCAATCGATCCGCCTTGCTCCCTCCTTCAAGTCCTGCCTCAAAACCCTCCTCTTCGACCATGCCATTAATCACCCCCCTTTCCCTCCCCTCCCTTCTCCCCCCAACTCCAACTCGGGTCTGTCCAGCGCCTTGGGACGTCATCCCGACGTGAAAGGCGCTATAAAAATGTAATCTTGTTGTTGTACTGAATACCTCGCTGGATCTTTGTTTTGTCAGATGGGTATCTAACATGGAAACCCATCACCATAATTAAAAATAACCAAACCGCGTTCTATATAGGCATGCAACCTACACATGGACATTTCCTTCTGTCTGGAATGGAGTGTGTACTCTCTCCCCAGAGAGATGTACCCTTTTTATCTAATTCTGGTGAGAACTAATTAATTCCCTGCACATTCTGGTGAAAAACCTGTAGGTTTATCTAGGTGTTTGGATTGTGATAAATTTCCCAATGCTTGTTCAACCCTAGTGGAACACCCTACTCATTAAGGCTTTCGTTTGCAAGGTTAATAAGGGAATGGGATGAATCTCCGCCCCACTGACCAGTCTGTGGCCTCTTCCTTTCCCAAAAAGCCAGGCTATCCAGTCTGTTAACAATGTCTTGAAGTATTACAGACATAACTGGCTCAGGAACTGGATTACGTAACTCCACCACAGAAGGTTCACTTGATTCCTTCTATTACCAAGCACATTACTTTGAAGCTAACTCAGCTCTAAGAAGACCTTTGGAGCTTACCCCTTTCCAACTTCACCTCTCCCCCCTCAAGTTTACTTCAATAGTCACTAGCTGCAGGACCTTAATGAACTCTATTCAGATAAATGAGGAAGAATTATTAGTATAAAAGTTATGTTAAGTGGAAAAGGATGTGTTATTCAAAAAGGACATGTTTTTAGTTCATAATGTGTATTTATCCACCCTGAGATGCTATCCTGTGTGGAGGGCGCTATATAAGTGTAAGTTGTTGTACTTATATGTGACGTGCACACCTTAGTATAGAAGTTCAAGAAAACCTTTTGACCTGAAAGACTATCTATAATAAAGTGCACAGTACCTCATTATCTGGATTAGGGATGTTTTCCAGTATTAACTTAGCTTGCTGGAAGTTCTTACTGGCAGCCATGTAAAGGTCTGGAGACTGAGGAGGGGGAGTGTACTTGTTGAGGTCTGACATTTCCTATTTGAAGATAAAATTTAAAGAGTTCCTTTAAATCAACAAGACACACACACATACATACATACATACATAAAGCCTTTGCCCTCTAGTCAGCTCTTAATTTGTAAGCTGGTTCTGAAGCAGGATATTTCAAACCTCAGAACTGAGTTGTTTCCATGATTTCTATTTCTTGACTTGGTAATTCATATAATGGGTATATTGTTCTTCAGTACAATTACTGCTAAAAATAAAACATGCAATAAAGTCTATATTTCATGGTGGTAACACTATCTTCAATTAAACTAAATTTTTGTATAGGGGGTTGATCTAAACACAATCTACCTCCATCTGTCCTTGCCACGGCATCTGAAAAAAATGGATGATTTGCCTCATGTATCATGAAAACAACAGAAACTGCATGATAAAACCGGTAGCTGCATGAAAATTCAACACCAGTATCAAAACAGAACAGATTGATTTGTCCATTAAATATTCTATCAGACATACAATATTGTGTAAAATTTAAATATGCTATTTGTTCTAATGGCAATACTGTTAGAATGTCTGGTGAAATAAACTATTTGCTTATAAACAAAATTAATTCCCTGCACATTCTGGTGAGAAACCTGTAGGTTTAACTAGGTGCTTGGACTGTGTTTATTAATTTATATGGTTATAATTGTTGTTGAAAGTGTAAATAATCTCCCAGGGAAATAAAAGACAAATAATGGAGTTCTTGGTTAGGACTTGCCAAGACAATTGTATGTACATTTCCAGGCACAATAATAAATATATGGATTTGACATGCTACATTTGTGTCGGTATATTTGATATTTGCGTCGCATAACCTTCATATGACAATTTTTTTTCTTCACAAGAATAATTAGGATGAACAATAGAGTTGATCTGGTGGCACGTGCCCACAAGGTGATCTCACTGGGAGAGAAGCCTATGCATCGCTGTCTAGGAATTATGAGTGGCACAGGAGAGCGAAACAATAACTTTCAAAATGGGATATAAAAAAAAGCAGTTTCGATCAGTTGCTCCGATGCAGATTAAAAATATATTCTCCTCATCAAATGGAGATTCCCATTTCCGAGTACTCTGCTGCAATAGGTAAGTCACTGTGTATTGTATTATAAAGATCTCTGTTTTGTTTGCCGCTCACCTTGAACTGCACATAGTGCACTGGTGGTGGAGTCAGAACACTGTTGAATGGAGCAAACCTATGCTCATATCGAACCTGCTCACTGTCCAGTTCAAATTTTGGCTTTCTTACTTTTCCATCCATATCGAAGGCAATCATAGTCTGTACCAAGCATTAGAACGGAAAAAAAACCATTTAATTACACTAATTTCTAATTAATTGCAGCTACACAGGAAATAATCTTACAATTATACGTAAAAGAATATACAGTTTTAATTCTATACTTTTGTTGTAAAGGGAATGCAATAAACCTGTAAATTCTTTATGTGTAAATTTTCTATTGTGTAAATAAAAAGCCTCTGATAGACCTGATTCTCGACGACAACACTGTATTTGTTTAATCTACGACATAATTACTATCTGGGACAGACTGTGTGGGGATGCAGAGCCACCAGCTGTTTGCAACATCCAATAACTATCTCATGTGGATGTCCTTGTCTCTCTCATGTGCCCACTTCATTCCAGACACAGGGACATTTCACATGTAGGTGGCGTACAAATGTGGAACTCTATCTGGTTTGGATACTCTTAAACATGGTGATGTGCGTCTGCCAGACATGTGTCAAACACCTGGCTGGACAGAACAAAGGTTATGGTCAGGCAAGCACTCAACCATTCTCCGGGGGAGGGGAAATGAGAGGTTGGGAGGAAGCCGAGGGACCTGCGAAGGACAAAACAAAGAGAAATATGCATCATATTTGGAGAGATAATGTATGTTGAGGACAAATGACAAACCATTGTACCCATTTTTAAAATCTTGAATAAACTCCAGGGTATAAATAATGGTGCCCCTACCTCTGGAGTAGAGTAAGCAATAAGAGAGGAAGCTTCGACTCTTCAATTTTCTGGGAAGAAAGACCCCGGTAACACCATTACTTTTGCCAATGTGCAGTTTAACATGTTGACTACTGTCTTGTGCACTTTCTTAAGAGCAGTGTTGGGTCAAAGTCTCGAGGAAGTTTCAAGCCTGCTCCAACTTGTGTATTTTAGGGAGACTTAGTAATGGTAGGGAAGAAAATAATTTTCCCCATTCTGCTGTGGGGGAGGGGAACAGAAAGAAACATTTTCCCTCTTCCTGGCTGCAAAATTCTGACTCGCTTTTCCTCTCTAGATCCATTGCATTGAATAACTTTAACCTGCCTCCGTGGTCTCACACAGAAAGAGAAGTTGCTCTTTGTTAGTTTGTTATAACAATCCTTGCATTTGATAAAGCACAAATAATGTTGAAATGTCTCAAAGCAATTCACAGGGGATGGTTAACAATCTTAGTGACTTTGTAGTCTTTTTTTGTATTTGTAGTCAAATGCACCAGTCAATTTGCACAAAGGAATGTACCACAAACAACCATGAATGAACGACCAATTTACCTAAGAGTTGGCCTGGACATCTGGAGAAAGTTCCTTCTCTTTTGGAATATTGTCATAGATCTTTAATGTCCACCTGAACAGGCAGATGAGATCTCAGTTTAATTCCAATGGAGCATTCCACGAGAACTATACTAAGCCCAGTCCAGGCTACTGAACATAGGTTCATTAACACAATTTGACAAGCTGAACGGAGGCTGTGGTGTCTCTGAACTAGGGGAAGTGTCGAAGAAGAATTAGGGAGGAACGATGTCTGGGTGGTCTCTGTTGCTGCTCAGTGAATCCTCACCTTATACATTCCAGCACACATATTCTGGTAAGCCTGACTCATGGTGGTTTCTTTGTTCAGAGGCCGAACTGCATTTGAGAGAAAAAACATTTTTCAAGTGATAAAATTAATTCCATGTTGCAACATCAAAAACAACTGAAACCAGATTCATACGATTCGATGTCAGTAATAAAGTTGAATAAAATTTGAATTTGTTTGAATGAAGTCTTTCCAATGAGATGAATGTCTATTTATTCCACCAGTCGCAAAGATTCAATGTAAAATGAGTTTGGCCTATGTTCAAAAAGTTGTATCCAGCCCATAGATACCAATTGCTGTGATAGCAGAAGGATGGAACAACATCTCCACTCATGTGATACAAATAGAAATAGATTTTCTTCAACACAGCAACCCAACACTGCAGAGGATTTGATTGCCAAATGGAGGATGTTTGCAATAAAAATCTGTTGAGCGCATTCTTAAAAGGCCAGATTCAATAATGTAAACTAAGTTTGTGCAGGCAGCAAGTCCCTACCTTTCTTCTTCTTCTTGGTCTTTTTACTGCTGCGCCCTTTCTGTTGTTCCTCCACGATCCGCTCTTCTGCCATCTGAGAAGTGTCAGCACGGTTCAACGTAGACATCAGCCAAGCATACAGGAACTCTGACAGGTACCTGTAATCCAGTGCACACCACAAATTGTGAGCCCATGTAATATAAAGCACAAGGACCCACTGAACAGTATGGCAGCACCTATGGATGCACAATAGGAAATTTGCACACAGGATTATCAAGATTATCCACTGAATATGTATCAGTATGATTTTTAAAAAATAAAGATTTAAACCAAAGCAGTTTTAATTTTTAAACTCATTTTGTACCTTTTGGGTTTGGAAAATAAAATAAATTCTGGATTGCCCCTTTGAGATGATACAATACAACTTTACAAGACATGCAAGTATGCTGGAATGACTAGACTTAAAATTATTATGATTCCAGATTCAAATTTCATTGCTTTTGCGACAGAAGGGTCATAAAACACTCATAAAACGTGGACATTTCACCAAAATAAAGAGAGCCAAACCGATTAATTTACACATAACAAAGAACAAACAAAATGTAAATTGTGTTGTGTATTGCACATGCATAAGGTTTTACTGAAGAACAATTTATAAACGTTTTAAATATATGACATCTTATTGTTCAAAGTGAATAACAATTTGTTTGACATCAAACAAAAGTCATAGGTAAATGATCCAATTAATCACCAAAATCCTGGACTAAAACAATTCTAAATCTCTCAAAGGCAGCCCCTCCATCCAAGGAAACTAAAAATCAAGTCACCAGACAAAATCTTGCAATGCTGCCTGCGGTTATATTTAAAAATAACCATTATTTTCCCTTTACATGCTATTTTCTACCTCCTCGCCTTCATATGTAATCTTCATATCTCTTAGCCTCTGGAACTTCCTCCCTCTTCCACAAGAATTATCTGGACGAAGAAGGCTCTTTGACCCATCCGATCTCACCGACTCTACCGTCTGATCATCATTACATCCAGCTATTCAAATGAACCATTTTGTCTCGTCCTCTCTGTCTTTACCTCGCTGAACGCGCCTATGATCAGTTCCCCCCGCCTTGCTCAGTGTCCAACACCATAGCTGTGAAGTGCTACAAGCTGTTACCCTACATTAAGGACTCTATAAATGCAAGTTGTTGTGCGCAAGTAAGATTCTTCAATAGGATGCATATGCCACCTCACTGAGCTAGTCCAGAACCTTTGTGTCTTGTTTGACCTCAACTGTCCTTTCTATCCCACATCCATGCCATGACTCGCTCTGCCTTCCCCCACCTCCGCAACATCGCCCGGCTCCACCACTCCACACGCCTAATAATAATCGCTCCAAAACAAAAAAAATTGGTCATTTTCAATCCACGACTGTTTGTGGGACACTGCTGTGCGCAATTGGCTGCCGTGTTTCCTCCACAAATATACGGTCAATTCACTTTACAGCATATTCTGTGAAGTGCTTTGAGACATCTAGAAGACGTGAAAAGCACTATATCAAATTCAAGGATTATTATTATTACTACCTCAACCCTCAGGCTGCCAAAACCCACATTCACATGTTATTACATGCTTGACTACACCAACTCCCTGCTTATTGGCCTTCCCAACTCTTCCCTTCACAAGCTACAGATCACCCAGAACTCTGATGCTCATGTTCTCTCCTGCATCAGGCTGTGACCCCATCACCACCTTCACCCGGCTCCAATGGCTCCCCATTCCCCAGAGTTCAAAATCCTCGTCCTCCCCTTCAAAGCCCTCCACAGCCTTGCTCCTTCCTACCTCTGTGATCTGCTGACATCATATTAACCTGTCTGCCTCCTCTGCTCAGCAGGCTCCGGCCTGCCCCACTTCCCCCTCCTGGCCCAACATCGGCGGTTGGGCCTTCAGCCTTACTGGCCCCACCCTTTGGAACTCCATCCCACATTCCCTTCGCCTCATTCCCTCCCTTGCCTCCTTCAAGGCACATCTCAAGACCCTACTCTTCGACTGTGCTTTTGGCCACCCTCCTACTCCTACCAACCCTGCCCTTCACCCTCCCTGATCCCAACGCCACTGCTCAGGACCAAATCCCAGAATGTACAGCGCTGTGGGACGTCCTCCCAACGCGAAAGGCGCTATACAAATGTAATTTTCTGTTGCATTGTAAAATTCTGTTTTGTGGGCACGTTCTACTGTAAGACATGGCCGTTAGAGGGCACTCTTTACCACATGTCAGCTGACGACTGGCCATTGCACAGCAAAATCTCTTAATAGATATTAAGAACAGATTTTAAGGGATTTTAAAACTTTCCAGCATTTATAATAAAGTAAGAATGACAAGGCTCTTACCAGTTACAGGAGATGGATCAAAAACAAATGAATCTATAAATTTTAGCATGCAAATAACTTAGTAAAAATGAAAATAAGTGGGTAATTGAAAAGTACTGTCTAGTACAGAACTAAAAAAAGGCAAGCACATTCTTGTTTGTGGATACAAGTGACTTTAACTAATGATCAGATTATATAATGTATTCTAAACAAAGAAAACCAGTGGTGTCTTTGCATCCCCTCATTTCAAGCTTTAACCAAACTTAAAACAAGGCAAATTTCCACATGTATGCGGATGACATCCAACTCTACCTCTCTGCTTCCACCCTGAACTCCAGGACTACTGGCGTCCTGACCGACTGTCTGTCCGACATCAAGTCCGAGGGCCAACTTTCTCTAATTCAACGCCAGTAAGACCGAGGTCCTCCTGATTGCCTCGCGCTAGCGCCTCCGCACTTCAAGCGCTGGCAGCATCAACCTCACTCAGCCAGTCAGGAACCTGGGTATCTGTTTGACCCTGAACTGTCCTTTCTCCCACGCATCCGCTCCATGACCGGCACTGCCTACCACCACCTTCGCAATATTGCCAGACTCTTGCTTCCTTCAAGGCCGGTCTCAAGACCTTTCTCTTCGACCGTGCCTTTTGTCTCCCTCCCACCTCTCTGCCTTCCCTCACCACTACACCACCCCTCCCCCATGCTCGGGCCCCAACACCTGACTGTTCAGCGCTTTGGGACATCTTCCCGACGTGAAAGACGCTCTATAAATGTAATTTTGTTGTATTTATTTCTCACTTTCTGTGATCACAAATCTTAATTTGGCCATATTTCACCACAATGTTTAAAACAAGACATGTATTGAATGGGTTTCATTCAAAATTTATGGTTTGCAAGCATTGTCTGGAATCAATATACCTCAGCAGAAGAATCAGACCAAACTTGTGACAGTCCAGTATTTAAGTTATATACTTATGTGAAACCTGCTGACGCAAAACGCCTCAAGAAGTACGCTGATTAAATAGTGTAGGTTTTACTTTATACATATTATTTACGTTGGATACAGAAATCAGCATCTACATGTTCTCACCAGTAGACGTAGTAGTACTCATGCATGCTGTACAGTTCCAATTCAAAGCCGCTCAATAGGTACTGAACCATGATCCGAAGGTTATGATAGAGAATCCAAGTGCCTAAGCAGGCTAGATGTTGTCTCTGTGGCTCCTGCTTCAATAGCATGCTATGGAGTGCTGCATCCACCTTCTCAGCCTGTAAGCAGGAGATCACAGCCATAACACAGTGCTTCCGCTCACAATCTATTCTCTATTACACATTGTATGCTATGTAGCTCCACACTATTGGGCAAGAAGATTAAAACTTTTATTTAAATTTCTAGCAGCTCTCTTCCAAAGGAAATAAAATTGTAATCATCAAAATTTTGTAATACATTCTGTGGTTGTCTGAAACAGCCATGACATCAGTTTCTCTCGTTCTCTCCAGTCATCTTCTCCTTCATCGGGTTTGAGGAGGAACTGTCAGAATGATAGGGTTCCGAGATTGCCATCTCTTGACTTCAATAACTGAGGGTGAATTTGCGATGTTGCTATGTGCTAATTAACACAATTTTAAGACCTTGATATTTAACATTTTTGGGGATCAGTGTCTAATACATGTGGAAACCCATCACCGTACTTATGAGTTTCCAAACCAAACTGTAAGTTTGATATATGTATCCCACTTACACACGGACATTTCCCTTTGTCTGGAATGGAACACTCTCTCTTTCTTACGGGATTACGGAGTATTACTTGCATGTTGGCAAGAACCAAGGTTTGAAGACCCTAGAGTGTGTATTGGGATACCAGTGGAGTTTAACCAGCTAAAACTGCAGAGAGCAGTCTGCATAGACAGCAGTCTAGCAAGCTTCCTGCTGATTGCCTAGCTATGACCATCCTTCCTGTTAGATGGTTATCTTACACAGTTAACAGGAGTAGAGTGGGAAGAATCCCTGCTCCAAGTGCTTAGATTAACATTGAAATATCTTTATGCTTTGAGATGTCCCCCAAAGTAAAAGGTGCTAAATCAAATCCAAGAGTTATTATTTATTCCTATTATATGTCAGGGAAGATACCTCATCCTGTAAAGTGGCAAACTCCTCCAGAATGTGGCCCAGTTTATCTCTCTGCCGAGCCCTGTTGTGTCCATGGATCTGTATCAAGCTGCCAAATGGCTGTAAAAATAAACCAGCATTGAATTAAAAAGTTTTAAATCTGACACCAAAACATTCACCACAGCTCCATCTCGGGGTTTTTATAGCGTGGTAAAACAGCACCCTTCACAGGTTACATATATATATATATTATATATATTAATGATGTGTTTGGAGTTTCTGTCATTCAGAATTCTGTAAGAGCTGGATAGGGAATATCAGTCTAATATAATCTATGTCTCGGCTCATGTCTGAAAATAGGAAGGATGCCATCTTTATCAATAAATTGTAGACTATAAAACAAGTCAGTCAGCATTATGACCTCCAGCATTATGATCTTATTGCATTTGCCATCTATTGTGGAGAGCACAAACTGGTTTATTTTACCTACTATCCCTCAATATAATACTACACGTACACTAAAAGATAGAAAGATGCATTAAAAGATAGAACAATAGCATACAACACACAGAAGATTCAATGAATATTTAAATGAATGACTAAGTGCAATGCAGTGAATCATATTAAGTTACTTACCCGTACGCAATGAGTAACAAATGAGTCAATGTAATCCTTAGCCTGGTGATTATTATAAAGGCAGCATCTGGAAATTACAAGAATAATTTGTTTCCGTCCAATAATTTCTGAATATATACAAGCTTTTACAACCAGTTTATCATGTGCAAAAAATGATTGTACTTTGTAATGCTGGCCGACCTTAAAATGAACTTCCCAGCAACAAGTTAACACACTTGTTGATCTGCATTTTGATTCAAACAGTAACAAGGTGATCACCAAGACCGAGGCCCTCCTGATTGGCTCGCGCCAGCGCCTCCGCAACTTGGGCGCTGGCAGCATCAGCCTCCACGGCTGCACACTCAACCTCACAAAACCAGTCAGGAACCTGGGTGCCTTGTTTGAACCTGAACTGTCCTTTCTCCCCCACATCCACACCATGACCAGCACTGCCTACCACCATTTCCGCAACATTGCCAGACTCTGCCAATGCCTCACCCCTCAGGCTGCCGAAACCCTCACCCACGCATTCATCACATCAAGGCTCGACTACGGGAACTCCCTCCTCATCGGCCTTCCCAACTCTTCCTCTTCATTCAACCCTCTGCAGCTCGTGTACTCTCGCACACCATGTTCCGTGACCCCCGTCACTCTTAACCTCACCCGACTCCACTGGCTCCCCATCCCCCAGATGATTGAATTCAAGATCCTCGTCCTCACTTTCAAGGCCATCCATGGCCTTGTCCCCTCCTACCTTTCTGACCTGCTGACTCCCTACCAACCTGCCCGCTCCCTCCGTTCAGCGGACTCCGGTCTGCTCCATGTCTCCCCCCCAACCCACCCTACCATCGGTGGCCGGGCTTTCAGCCTCTCTGCCCCCACACTCCGGTACTCCAACCCCCAGTTCCTTTGCCTCACTTCCTCTCTTGCCTCCTTCAAGGCTGGTCTCACGACCCCTTCTTTTCCATCGTGCCTTCGGTCGCCCTCCCACCTCTCTGCCTTCCCTCACCTCTACACCATCCCTCCCCCATGCTCGGGTCCCGACCCGACTATGCAGTGCTTTGGGATGTCCTCCGGACGTGAAAGACGCTATACAAATGTAATTTTGTTGTTGGCAGCTTTGAGAATTCTGAACAAGATTTTGTTTGTTATTGTTGATCCTCATGCTGGATGTTTATTGATATATTCGTAATTCATTTGTAAATTCTGCAGGGAATTTTTTATACAATGTTTTATTTACTCTGAATTATTTGAGAAATCCTGGAACACACCCCCTCAATCCCTCCGCATTGCTCCCTCCTTCCTCACCTTCAGGTCTCGCCTGAAGACCTTGCTCTTCGACCATGCCTACGGTCACCTCCCTACTCCCCCCGGCTTGGCGTTGCATCCGCCACTGTCAAGCGCTCTGGGACACTCAACTGCATGAGGGGAGCTATATAAATGCAAGTTGTTGTTGTTACTCACTTTGATGAAAGCACTGGAGGACTGACAAAGTATCTCAGTGCATCTTTTATCATGTCCTGCATTAGGTGTGTACCAAATACCTTCTTGTTGTCTACCAAGAAAGTTGCCTATAAAAAGAAAAGCTGTTAGAAATCAGTTTCAGTATGCTGCTCAGTTAATGTTTTTTTTAAAAGCACAAAATGACAAGGCTAAATTGTTTGTCACTCAAGACTGCCTCCACAAGCTGCAGATCATCCAGAACTCTGCAGCTCGTGTCGTATCCCACACTAGTCTACGGGACCCTATCAACCCCACGCTTGTCTAGCTCCACTGGCTCTCCATCCTCCAGAGGATAGAGTTGAAAATCCTTGTCCTCGCCTTCAAAGTCCTCCACGGCCTTGCTCCTTCCTACATCTGTGACCTGCTAACGCCATATCAACCTGTCCGATCCCTCTGCTCGGCATGCTCCAGCCTGCTCCACATTCTCCGCCCCGGCCCGCCCCACCATCGGTGGTCAGGCCTTTAGCCTCTCTGCCCCACCCTTTGGAACTTCATCCCACAGTCCCTTCGCCTTGCTCCTTCCCTTGCCTATTTCAAGGCACTCCTCAAGACCCTCCTCTTCGACTGCGCTTTCGGCCACCCTCCTACACCTTCACCCCCTATCCTCCTCATCCCAACACCCTGCTCGGGTCCAAATCCCTGAATGTCCATGTCTTTGGATGTCCTCTCGACATGAAAGGCATTATACAAACCTAATTTGTTTTTGCTATACGTTTGTCTGAAAGCTTTTGAAACATCAATTCCAAGTATTGCATTTTGTTCAGCTTAATTGAAAAGAATTTTTCCATTTACAGATTTTAAAATATGGCTATTGTATTCAATACAGTACCCTTGTTATATACACCATCTCATATTATTCCCAACAACCTCTGCTATATGTAATTTCACCGCTGATAGAACAGTTATTTAGTATAAACCAATATTGCCAGATAAACTGCTTTCTCAATGCCAAAGCCACGCAAGCATGAATTGAATAATGCCTTGGATTTACAACCCTACGTACCTGTAACAGAGATCTAGAGAGTACACAAGGTGACTGTTCACTAAATTCACAGAAAAAGTCCTGCAATAATAAAAAACAAAATTAGAAAATCTTATTAGAAAAATAGAAGTATATTATGATGTACATTGAGGTAACAGAGCTTGAAATATCCTGAAGTTGCTGCTTGAAAAATTTCACACATAAGTCAAAATTCCCTATATTGATTACCTTTCAATCATAAGCCATACATTTCCATGGTTCAGGAGAGAACCATAGATACTCATGGCTACACAGATGACCATTTATCTATCATGTCTGGCCCAGCAAAGATGCCTTTATCTTCCGGGGCATTTGAGGATACATTTTCTTTACTTTTTCTCAAAAGGTAGAATACAATGTTTAAAAGGACCATTTTATTCTCCAGAGAATGGATGCAGACATGAAGGTACACTGAACACGAGCGGTTTGGTGGTTGCTTCTTCTTTTTTACAAAAGGCTAAGTGTTCTGATTCTCAAACCGAGGCCTCATGACTAACTTTTAGCCTCAGCTGATTTTCAGTTGATGGCTGAATCGCTAGGTGGCTGAGACCACATTAGCCAGCTGCGGAAACACAGATAGAGGAATAGAGAAATTTGTGGCTTGTGATTTCTGACTGAGAAAAACGATGGTGATTGTGAGTAAATGGCATCAGCCAGGCTCAGTGGCAGCATTCTCGCCTGGAGTCAGAAGGTTGAGCTTTTAAGCCCCACGTCCAGACGAGGTTACATAGTCTAAGCTGACACTCCAATGTGGTGCTAGGGTGTTGAATTACTGGAAGTGCCGTCCTTCGGATGAGACATTAAACCAAGGTCCCGTCTACTTGTGCAGGTGAGTTAAAGATCCAATGGCACTATTTGAAAAGAGAAGGGAGTTTCTCCTATGTCCTGATCCACATTCCCAAAATAAAACTGGCCATTCACTTCATGGCTGTTTGTGGGACCTTGTTGTGCACAAATTGGCATTTGCCCACAGATAGTTACTCCACTTCAAAGTAAATCCTATGAAGTGCTTTGGGATGTACTCCCAACGTGAAATGCGCTATATCAAATGCAAAGATGATTATTATTATTATTATTATTATTAAGTAGGCTGGATTACAAAACAACCAAAAATTATATATAAAAGTAATCCTAAACTTACCAAAATACTGTGCAAATTTGTCAAGTTGACAATCTCACAAACCATTTTTATTCGCTCTATAAGTTTAGCAAAATAGTTGACCATATCTTCTCGTTTTATAATTTTTGCATAACGGGGAAATGTTGGAGGTAGCAATCGCTGATTGACAAGAGGCTCAAATCCCATCATTATCGGATGATCTATCAAATGCAAAATACAAATGTAAATTACTTTTCTGCATTGAAGCTGCAAGAGGAGTTGTGCATTAGTTTGATGATCTGCACCATCCACATTCAGTGGGTATCCCTCACTGGGCATTATTATTCTAAAATGCATTAAAATACAACTGTAGAATAGATTTTAAATGTTAAGCGACTTTGTAAAACTACACATATTGGCTATTAAGTCATTGAATTGGAAAAAATAAATCTTTGAGTGTAGATAACAAACCAAGCAGTTGGCTTTAAGTTCTTATAGCTCTGCATCAAATTATTTTGTCAGATGTCACTAAAAGCAAACTAGCACTATATTGTTCAACAATTTTTCATTTATCTGAAGAGGATATCTTTTTCAAATCAATCTGATAAAAGGCAGTGTCATATTCGTTCCATTAAGGATAATAATTACTTATACTGGTGCTTAAATATGTGACTTCCCTAGGAATTAGTAATAGGGCAGCAAATGTGAAATATCTTTAGTGTTTTATACCTCCTTTTGTAGTATCATTTTGAGCCTGGATACCATGATGGGTAGAGTTTTGTAAAGCAGGCAGGAGATCTGCAGCTTGAGTCATCAACTTCTGAGCTTCACTTACTGCACTGGTCTGCACAAATACAATGAGGAATAAAATTAGTTTTTTCAGCATGTTGAAATGCATATCCATTTTTGTCCTATCATCTTATAACTTTGTTAAAATCGTTCTCTTTCTTTTGCTAATACTTCCCCTACACTGCAAATTATCAACGGCTGAAAATATAAACACATCCATCTCTCTGATTGTCGCCTTTACTTGACAGGGATGGCGCTAGATAGGTTCAGATGAAGAACCTCCTTTGACCTGCTGATCTTATGCTGACCAGATATCCTGGCCCCCATCACAATGGGGAACCCTCATGACTGTGATTCCCTACAACTGCAGGAATCTCTTGAATTTACTGTTTGTGGAATCAAGACACTGCCACCCACACCCATTCTTTCCAGCCTTGTCACATTTACCACAATGTATTCTGTCAGTTCTGAAACACTGATTGCACTTTAATTTCACTGGAGTTAATAACAATTTGAAACAGATGGCAGAATAAATTGGCAATTTTGTGTAATGTAAAATGTGGAGTCCTGTAGCTCAGTGGTTAGAGCACTCGCTTTGCAAGTGAGAGACCTGAGTTCAATTCCAGGCAGAGGGCGAAACCTTGGGCAAGTTTCCTTACTCCACACGCCTAATAATAATCCCTCCAAAACTAAAAACAATAATTAAATTGGTCATTTTCAATCTACGACTGTTTGTGGGACATTGCTGTGCGCAATTGGCTGCCGCGTTCGCCCACAAATATACAGTCAATTCACTTTACAGTGTGTTCTGTGAAGCGCTTTGGGACGTCCTCCCGACGTGAAAAGCGCTATATCAAATGCAAGGATTATTATTATTATTATTAATGTAATATACCTGAAAATGTAGAACTGAAGCTTCAAATTTTATTTTATTTAGATATTTTCTTTACACTCTCTGAAGAGGGGCACTGAGTTTAGTTTTACGTATACAAACTATACTTGGTTTCAAATGAAGGTCAATGAACAAAAACTAGATAGTTTATTTCTAAACTCAAAACTCATTGTTGTGTTATCCCACATCACAGCCATAGTGAGAGCTATTGCTGGGCTGCTATGATGCAAACGAGTGCGAATTTAATGGTGGAAGCTTTAGCGCAGACTGCCCTCGCATCCTTTTGGCTGCATTTAATGTAGAAATTAGCACTGTCAACTGCAAAGCTTATGCAAGTAAAACCAAAGAAGCTTGCTGAACCTGAGACCCAATTTACTCCAAATAGGCCACCAAACTAAAAAACTATTCTTGTGTCACAGGAAGGTCCTATACATAAAATGAATTGTGATGGTTTCAGATCTTTCCTTTTCCCCATTGAGAGCTGGTCTCCCTGTAGGCCATACAGTCACACGTTACAGTATTTTCTATGAAGCACTTTTAGACATGCTCCCGATGTGAAAGGCACTATATCAAATGCAAGGATTATTATTATGTAGTCAACTTACAGTGAGTTGCTTATATTCAAGAACTTCCAGAAATTAAATACTTCACCTCTTTCTTTGTGAAAGCAATCAGGGCAGTCAGGAGTAAACGAGTAAACTTTATTCTGCTGAAAACTGCTGTACATTGTTGATGCTGAAACATTAAAATAAGACAGCAATGTATGTTAGACTTTCAAGTACAAGCACACTATCATTCAATAAATGGATTGACTAAAGTAGAAATAGAAATCACACGCTAAAGTTATCTTGGAGGCTTCTCTTTTCCACCACAAACCGTCTCCTCCATCCACCTTGCCACGCCTCACCCATCCTCTCCTCAAACTCCAACTGTGAGGAGATGCTGGATTTCCTCGAAACCAAAATCGAGGGGATACGTTCAGCCACCTCTGCCCCATCCACAGCCACCCCCACATCACCTCTCCCTCATGACCCACCCCCCACCCATCCCCCCCTATACTCCTTCGACCCTGTCTCTCCCTTCTCCCTCTCCGCGATTGTTCGCAAACTCAAACCCACCACCTGCTCCCTCGATCCCATCCCCACCTCTCTTCTCATCTCCCAGCGCCACCTTCTGGCCCCTCTCCTGTCCAACGTCATCAACCTCTCCTTGTCAACCGGTTCAATTCCAACACCCCTGAAAACAGCCGTCATCATCCCCATCCTGAAAAAACCTTCCTACTCTCCAGCTACCGCCCCATCACCTGGAACGAGTCGTCGCTTCCCAGCTCTGCTCCTTTCACTCTCGCCATTCCCTCTTTGAACCTCACCAATCCGTCTTCCGCGCTGACCACAGCACGGAAACAGCGCTGGTTAAAGTCACTAATGACATTCTGAACATCTGTGATCAGGGCTCCCTCTGCCTCCACCCTCAACTCCAGGACCACTGCTGTCCTGACGGACTGCCTGTCGGACATCAAGTCCTGGATGAGGCTAAACTTCCTCCAGTTGAATTTGAACAAGACTGAGGCCCTCCTGATTGGCTCACACCAGCGCCTCAGCACCTCAGGCTCTGGCAGCATCAGCCTCCATGGTTGCACACTTCAGCTCACCAAACCAGTCAGGAACCCAGGTGTCTTGTTCGACCCTCAACTGTCTTTTCTTCCCCACATCCAAGCCATGACCCACTCTGCCTTCCCTCACCTCCATAACATCGCCCAACTCTGCCACTACCTCACTCCTCAGGGCGCTGAAACTCTTGTTCATGCCTTCATCACCTCCAGGCTCGACTATGCAAACGCCCTGCTTGTCAGCCTTCCCAACTCCTCCCTCCACAGGGCTGCAGATAATCCAGAACTCTGCAGCCCATGTCCTCTCCCACACCAAACTCTGTGACCCCATCTCCCCCATTCTCACCCGACTCCATTGGCTCCATATCCTTCAGAGGATCCAGTTAAAAATCCTGGTCCTCACCTACAAAGCCTTCCATGGCCTCGCCCCACCCTATCTCTGTGACCTCCTAACCCCCTACCAACCTGCCTGCTCCCTCCGCTCAGCCAGCTCCGGCCTGCTTCATGTCCCCCGACCCACCCACCCCACCATTGGCAGGAGAGCCTTCAGCCACTCTGACCCCAACCTCTGGAACTCCATCCCCCAGTCACTCCGCCTCGCCCCCTCCTTAGCCTCCTTCAAGTCCCACCTCAAGACCCTCCTCTTCGACCATGCCATTGGTCACCCCCCTTCCCCTCCCCTCCCTTCTCTCGCCTGACCCCAGCTCGGGTCTGAAATGCTGTACACTGTCCAGCGCCTTGGGACGTCCTCCCGATGTGAAAGGCTCTATAGAAATGTAATCTTGTTGTTGTTAAGTTTACTAAACAGCCGAGAATCATCTGCAGATTTTCTTAGTTTAATTCCTCCTTGACCAAAACAAAGTTTAACCAAATTATATTCTGACAATATTTCTTAGCATGATTTAAGCAAATACTACATTCTTCAGCAAAATTAATAAGTAATCCTCAAAAAAGTTATACCATGAGATTTCTGTAAAGCTTGGGTTCATCTTAGGTCAGATTTTGCAACTGCTACCACAGTGGTGTAGTTTCAATTTGGAACAATTAACCTGGCTCAGGTGTTTCTCGATCTGATTCTGGATGCAAATGAAAACCCGAATGGACGGAAGAGGAAATTTGTTATTATAATGAAGAGAAGATATCTCCTTCCGGCTAATGGCTCATGTTTTAAAAAAACGTGTACAATGAGGGAGTAACTTGATATGATTTTTTCCAGTTTATTTTTACATCAGTTTTCTTTAAAGAAACACAAAATAAATCACTGTAAATGAATATAATTCTAGTGAACAGGAAATTACACAACAAGCACAATGCTTGAATGGCTTCCCTCTGTGCAATAAACATTCTGGATTCTAATACTGGCATTTCTCACAAAACNTTTTTTTTTCTTTTTCTTTTACTAGGGTGTGTAATCTCTTGTGAAGATGCATAGCTACTTATTTTCCCCACTAATTTATCTTTCCATTTTTCTTGGACCTCATAAATCCAGTAGCTCACTTAACCTACTGCTAAAAACATTAGTCAAGATACATGAGAGAATGAATTAGTCAAGACACCCCAATGACATTTATTTTGTCCTGAAGTGAATAACATCTGCTTGTCACCTCCCTTCACAGGCCGCCCCACAAAAATCCCAATTAGAATACTCCAGAGTTAGAAACTAAAACTGTAGGAAATAAATGACAAGGTTAGTTTTGTTCTTACTTCAAGTTCAACCTCTGGGTTGCGCTCTTCCCCTTGTCGACTCCTAGTGCTCTGTAAAAGCAGAAACATCATTTTGAAACATGCAAAACTGGAAAATACGAGAATAAAATTTAAGAATCAGAGCCCGGAAGATTATTTTGGTCTTTGTTATAAGATCAATTAAGATGAGGCCAGAAGTTAAGAAAATTCTTGATTCACTTTTGAAGTAGTTTCTAACTACGAAAAATTAATTAAGACCTTGAGGAATTTCAGGCAGTTAAAATGTTAACTGCCTGAAATGTTGTTCTAAACCCTTCTAACATCATGAGGTAAAAACAAACTATTTAAATCCCATTCTGTACTCTTCTGTGCGTTTTAAGCGTTCTGAGACGCTACCCTGCATGGAGGGCACTATATAAGTGCAAGTTGTTGTTGTTAATGTTGATTTAAAATGGTGATTTCTTAACTATTTATATTAACACAGTACCTTTACTCTTCTTTGAAGATCATCTTCTACATCTTTTAACATACCTGGAAATAAAGAAAATTAAATGGCAGTTTAAATGCCCAAATATAAAATCCCCTAATTACATGTAATGGACTCTCCAATGGTCATGAGGATTGGTAAGTAAACAAATTTGGTGTTTCTGGGCCGCTAGCCCACACGTTGAAAAAAATTATAACTTTATCAGTGAAATTTCATCCTCCATATGATCACTGTCTGCGCTGATAAACTAAGGCAACATTAGCCTACGTGTTCTCAGTTTAGTGAAGAGAAACGTCAGCCAGGATTCCTGCATTGGATGTTATTCAGTGAGCCCTCCAGGAAAGTGCATTGTTGAGAACCACACTGAGCTCAGCTGTGTTGCCTCTACAATTGAGTAGCCTTCAACACACACAAAGTACGTAAGTGAAGTATCGGAGTTTTTTAACCCAAACAGGCCCTCAGTTTAACATCTCATCTGAAGGATGTTATCTACATCAATATGGTGTAGATGCATTGGAGTGTCAGCCTGGACTGTGAGCTCAAAGTTCTGACATGGAGCTTGAACCCACAAATAAGCTAATATGAGTGACATCTTCTTGGCAATAAAAGAAAGATTTTCACATAATATGTGAAAAGTTTTTATTTTAGTATTGGATTTTAATCAAAAAAATGTACTATTTACAGAGGTGAAGCATTAACTGAAGCTTTAATTGTAACTTGTTATAATAGGATAAATCTAGATATAGGATCTTGAATCTGATCATTCATCTACATCAAACTGTCGTCACTTCCCGCCTTGATTTTTTCAATGCACTCGTCTGTAACCCCCAGCTCCACCATTCAAAGTCCAACTGATTTAGGACTTGCTGCCTGTATCCTTGCCCATATCAAACTCGCAACCTTATCACCCCAGTCTTTGCAAAGCTCCATTGGTTCCCTGTCGCAGAACGGATTGATTTCAAGATCCTCTCACTCATCTAACAATCACTTCATGCCCTAGCACCTCCCATTCCTCTACCCTCCCTCTTCACTTGGCCGGCTCTGGCCTTCTGTGAGTCCCCTACCCCGCCACTCCACCATTGGCAGTTGTGCCTTCAGTCAGTGCCCTGAACCTACGGAACTCCCTGCTTCAATCCCTCTGCCTTGCCCTCTCTTTCCCCATCTTTGAATGGCATCTGAAAACTTTTCTCTTAGACTGTGTCTATGGTCACCTCCTCTTTCTCCCAGGCTTGGTGTCAAACTCCACCATTGCTCAGTGCTCGAAACACTTACCCTGTGTGAAGGGCGCTATATAAACGCAAGTTGCTTTTGCAAACTTCCTCAAAGTTTGACACAATTGCTATTAGTTGAATAGTTCCTCAACTGAATATGCACAGAATTTTTGGAGAACAAGTAAACTAGATTGTACCTACAACTTCAAAACTATGGCAAATATGGAAAGTAGCAGTTACCTGTAACTCTCAAATCTGTGACATTATTGGCCATTTTGAAACCGTAAGTCATTGACTGGAAATCCTCCTGAAAATAAAAATGAGATAACACACCTACAAATGATGGTTCAGAATTCCAGCATTCTATGAAATACATGTTTTCCCTCCCCATTAAACATCTTGAAACCACTATGTTAATCTCCTTTGCTTTTCAATTTCAAGCACCAGTGAACTTTTTGTTTTGCACTTACAATACAAAATCCCATTCAATCATTGCATTGGGGAGCATGTCGCTTCCCTCAGGGGGTTAGGACATTCCTCTACTGGTTAACTTCAGTTCTAAGCAGCAGATGTGCTGATTATCGCAGAATAAGACACAGTGAAAATTCAACACCAGCTGGCTGGTGAATATCTTTTCAGCTAATAATGCCCATCAATGGTTTACTAATGATGCTTGTGGGGTAGAGTTCTACGAGATATACTATAATAATAATAATAATCCTTGCATTTGATATAGCGCTTTTCACGTCGGGAGGACGTCCCAAAGCGCTTCACAGAACACACTGTAAAGTGAATTGACTGTATATTTGTGGGCGAACGCGGCAGCCAATTGCGCACAGCAATGTCCCACAAACAGTCGTAGATTGAAAATGACCAATTTATTATTGTTTTTGTTTTGGAGGGATTATTATTAGGCTCTGTGTGGAGTAAGGAAACTTGCCCAAGGTTTCGCCCTCTGCCTGGAATTGAACTCAGGTCTCTCACTTGCAAAGCGAATGCTCTAACCGCTGAGCTACAGGATATACTACACAGTTTTTCACACTCTATGCCACTTTCGACTAAATTTACATTAAAGCTAAATAAATGTAACAATCGCATCACATCAGAAGTATAAGAACACATCTCAGAGACCTGGTCTATCCTTCACCACTTGGAATTCCTTGGGATGCAAAAAAATCTGAGACCATCCCTTTTCCTTTCCCAGAATGGAATCATGTTTTCGCTTTACAAGAAACGTGTAGGATGGTGAGCTATCATCGCCTGCGGTTTCATGGGTACCAGATAGTTGAAGCGGCAATGGACCCATCCAAAGAAAAATGTGTGTGGTGTGCAGCCTAACTATTACTCTGGCTGGAGGCTATGAGGGCCAGCTAAGGCTTTTCAGCCCTGAATAGAGACATCTCAAAGAGGATCTTATAAAGATGTAGAAGACGCTAAACGAAATAAAAACAAAACAAAAGCAGAGCAACACTTTGATTTGTTAATGCAGAACGAGGGGTCACATGGACATAGGTTTCGGGTTGTGAAAGAGCAATTTTAGGACAGACACCAAGAAGCATCTCTTTACATGTAGAGTTATTAAATGAGTGATTACATGTAGGGTTATTAAATGAGTGATTTAGACCAGGACACCAAACTCCCTTGATATAGCAAAAGGAAAAATGTAGAGTCAGTATTCTGGAAGGATGTGGTCAAATGAGATGAACGGCCTTCTTCATCCATACCTTTCTTGTGATCTTTTGCATGGTTACAACGTTTAATTCACATTGAGACTTAATATAATTTTAAAAATCATCTCACTCTTTGAATTGAAGCAAAGATCTATGAACTAGTCGAAAGTCTGTTTCCTTCATTTTGCTCAAAAACTCATGCATCAAAAGAACCTACCCTTGACATCTCTGCTCCTGCACGTACCTCTTCAAACACAGCTGCTTTATTCACTTTTTCTCTGGCAATATCACATATCTTTAGGATGCCCAGAGCAAAGGCTTTCATAGCAGGATCCTCAATCAAGTCGGGATTATGGACATAAAGACACGTGAAGACAGTCTGGGCCAGAGAATGACCTTCCAGCCACGTTATCTGTGAAATGAAAAGAAACCATGAGGTTACCCCGGTACACACAAGTTTATGCGTTAAGTATTTTTGTTGGTCGACAAAGAAATGAAGGCAATGTACATCAAATGGCATTTTAAACATCTAAGTGTATGAATTATTACTTTCTTTCAATGTAATTAAACAGTTATCAACAATAAACATTTGAGAATGCTAATTATCAGTCACAGCATGATCTTGAAAAGACAAAATTATACACAAGACTGTAAAAGGACCATTGCCCTTTCCTGAATCAGTCGATTTAAAAAAAAGGAACCATTTATTTTCAAAACAATGAAACTGAGAACAATTTTGTAGGATACAGTTCAGAGCACAGCAGCTTTTGTGAGCTAACAACAAAAGTTACTATATTATGGATGAGAAATTAAACAGAGTATTATCTTGTTCTAAGTATCCTTACCAAACAACAGAAGCAGGTGTCCATTATCCCTATCAGCTCTGGCAATGTAAGGCCCTTGATTTTAATTGTTTCATCCTTCAGTAAAATACAAAAAGTCATAACATAAGAAATCATCTACTTAAAAGAATGTTTGTTGAATTGCAAATATCTCTAAATTTAGCTCATTACAAATACATACTTAGTTTTTTTAGTTTCATATCAATTCAGTTTCTGAGCTCAAATATTTCTAAACAGTTATAATAAATCATATTATAATCATAAATCATCCAGAACAGACTGTTCTGATTATTCAAAGTTATAAGAACATTGCTGTGAAGTTTGTTATTAACCATTTAGAATTTATCAAATGTGTTGGAAAAGTGAAAAACTTGGCACTGTAAAAAAGGGATAGGAATCAACTTCAACTTTGACATAAAAGTACGACAAGTTACAAACACTGGACATAAAGAACGAAAATGATTTTAAGCAATACCAATGCAAATGTTTAAATATGTTCTTCCTGCTGCTCCAAACAGTATAAAATTAATTTCCCTTCACCTTACTTAGCTTTACATAAAGTAAATGGAGCAATTTGTTTTTAATACATTTCCAATGCATCAGACATTTTATGGTATACACCTCCTTGTTTATTTTCTACCCTATCCTGGTCTCTCTACGCTATGGGCTCCACCTCGAACATTCTGAACCTAGTATAATATTACAAGTTTGAATGAAAGCAGAGTAGAAAAATCTTTCCTTCACATTTTCCTCCATGTGGACAAGCACTGAGCCCCTGCAAGGGATGAACAGCAATTCACTGATATGGGAAAATGCAGCTACAACCCACGTGCCACCTACACCAAGTGGACTATTCCTGGAATCTGCTATCTTGTCTTAAAACTGGTTCAGTGTTCAAATTTCTATTAATTACCATAATTGCCATTAGGCATTTATATGCGCTGGGTTTGGTTTCAGTTCATTGCCTGATTTTCTGCGTGAAATGATGCCTTAAATTCCTGTGCGCAAGTTGTCTTGCTATTTAGAACAAAAAAAAGTATCAAGGATGGACACACATGGATTTTATGTGTGTTGCAAAACACAAGAATAATGTGAGTCTTTAATGCAATGGCAACATTGTGAAAATAATGAGCATTGGACTGGTATGCAGAACAAATTGGAATGTATAACACAATAATCCATTTTTATCCTTAGTTGGCCACAACTGTTCATGGTATTAATGTTCATGGTATTCTACATCTTTGAAAGTGGGAGGAATTTTTTTTAATAAAGAACAATTTGAACTTGTATAACATATTTCATGTGGAATAAAAACAGTGGCCAGTTCACTCATGTTGATGAAAATATTTTCTCAACAAAAAATATTATTCATGCAAATCAATTTCTAGTTTTCAGATAGTTGGCTTACAAATGATTTTTCTTCTCATTTTGTCTCAAACCATTTAATAATTTCCAAACAGGTTCCCCTGCTTATAGGTACGGTGCAACTTGTCACCACACTTTCTCTTGGGGAAGAGGAGTGGGATGTGAAGAAAGGAGGGGTGGGGAAAGCATAGAAAGAGGCACCCAACTTCTGGTTAGTAATTCCCATTAGCAGAGCAGTCAAATCTTATTGGAAACTATAGGTAAGAAACTGCATCATAAAATCAAGTAGTTATCTTAAGAGAAAGAGAGAATATAATGCAACATGCCTTTTGTTCACTGAAGTCACAATAACACTATTACCACTTGGTTAGGATGGATTTAATGATAGACAATTCTAGAATAAAAGTGACATACCTTGACTGCCTGCTCAAAGTTCAGCACCTTCCGGTTAACCTGGTTTCCAATCATTCCTGCATCCATCTTTGGGTCCATCATCTCAATTGCAGACATTGCTTCAAACAAGCCAAAGCTAAGGTGAAACATTTCAAACATATTCTCAATTATCATTCTGTAATAATGTCGAAAACTGACACTGCAATGCTTCAATACAAATTTGTCATATATTTTACATACAATGGAACAAATCTATCATAACTCCCTCTGTATGAACATTAAAAATCCTTTTAAGGATTTTCAATATAATGGCAATTAATTTCATTAACTTATAGTCGTAACTGATTTTAAGGTGTCAAGGGGGACAGTTGTCCGTTAATGTCTCATTTATGTTACTGGAACTACAGTATTTCTTATTACTTCCAACAGGAGAGTGATTCAGAGTTGTAACAAGATTTAGATTTGCTGCCTCAAGCACACTTGTAATGCTCATATTCTGTGTAATCTTTTTAAGTTTGAAAGTTCAATTAACAGCAGTTTCAGTATAAATCAGGTTTATATTGCAGCTAATGCATCAGTTATAATGTTGAAACCATTAACCATGATAAATATATAGTAACACTTACAGTTTGTCATGAAGAAGCTCTCCCAGTTTAAGATCTGAAAATAAACAAATTTGGAGAAATTAGATGGAAGTTTTTGCAAAGTATTTCAAGATCGACATAATACAATTTGCACTGAAATATGAATGAAATGCCACTCTCACCAATGTTACTTTCCCATGATAGGTATTTGACCTCTGACTAGTAGCTACCCATGGTGGCGTAATCGTTGAAAAATCAATGTGGAAGAAAGATTATAGCCATAAAGCTTTACAAATGTAATTTTGGATTGTATTTTCCTGCCTTTCTATGATGATGTGGTTGTTCAAAAATACTAACCATCAAGCGCCCTCCCTTATTTTACAATTCAGTGAGGGTTATTGCAATATAATTCAGATTGATGCATTGCACATTTAATTACCACTGAAATGAATCAACACCAAGTTTCAACAGATTTTAATGTTCTGCTCGTAAATCACCTCAATGTTGTGATTCTGTTTGCCTATGTCACTAATCTTTCTACTTATCACATCAGGAATCCCAAACTATCATGATCAGACCTTTCCTAACAGATTTTTTTAAAAAAACAAAGTAAGTTTTGCATTTAATCTGCTTTTCTTAATATTGAAATGGTTTGGGTACACAGATACAAAAAACAACGTACTTACTACTTGCCCTTGTATGAAAGAAACAGAAAGTAAACAAATGGGATTGATGTTGGGGTTCTCCATTATAACACAACAGTGAAAGCTTTTGCAACAGGTGCGATCTGAGAAACAGTGTGATAACACTTTCACTAAGGCCATTTTCAACCATTGTCATCAGGTGTGACATTCCTGCTGTAACTTTCCTCTATTTGTGAAAGAAACAATAGTGAGGGAAAAAAATATGAAGTACTTAAAAAGTAACAAATTCTGAGGTAAAATGGCCTCCTGACAACGAGTAAGGGAGCTAATTATAAAAGAATTATATGATTCAGTATTAAGTTTGAAAAATGTATTTATGGAAATGATAACTATTTGAACAGTTTCACTGCATGGCTGTATTTTTCACACCCTTGTCCTTTGGACATGGCATTAAATCGTTTGTGCAAAATGAGATGCCAAATTATTTCTTTAATTTCACATTACGCCCGATACATACAGTGGGCTTTTCCTATTGTAACATATTCATGTATTATTTAAACAATCAGTTTAGGATGTGAACAAATACTACCTTTGCAACAATCTTTGAATTCCTGGGTGATGTCCACCCAGATCACATTGTTCTTTTCCATCTTTTCTGAGATGCCAAGCCCCCAGCCAACATCGTCCTCATCCACAGATGCTTTCGTCACCATGGTAACTCTGAAAACCAAATTGTACAATTATAAACAATTCCACATCCTCTTCCCATTTCCATTTTAGAACAGAACTCAACTATTGGAGCGGCCTGTTTATCTGTTTATCTGAACCCCCTGTGTGAATTCCTTGTAACCCTGATAAACAAAAAAGCCATCAAACAAAAAGCTAATGGTGTCTATATTGTTGGAATTTATTATTCGTCTGTGATCACTATGTACCTACCCTCATAAATATCAAGGAGCGTTAAACAACAAAGGCATGCAAAGGACTGGACAGACGAGTGGGTTCAGCCCTCAATAACGCTACCCTGTGTGAAGGACAAATGTAAATGTTTTTGTTGTTAATTGTATCTCTGAGGGTATGAACTACCAACAAACAAACTGCTCCTAATTTGGTAATCTTACACAGAGGACAAAATAATAGCTAATGTAGAAAGTGAATGGACAGAAAAATACAGGACATGATAAAAACACAGCAGTCCATTGGCCAGTACCAAAGTTTAAATCAGAAAGCAGGGATGATGTGTGCCTAATTTAACATGTATATGCAGCTCATGCTCATTGATCTCGGAAGGCTAATGTGATTTCCAATACAACAGAACAGTTGATGGGACAATCTACTCATTCCTGAAACTAAGCGCTCTGAGATGCCATCCGTCGTGGAGGGCACAATATAAATCCAAGTTGTTGTTCAGTTGTTGTTGAAATGTAAAGACTATATGACTATGTTTTAGTCTTATTCTTTAAATTTGAAAAGTTGGACTCTGCACCAACTGGAGTTATAATGACATTTGGTGTTAGGTGGTCCTCGCAATTGTTCTGCACCAATGCTAAAAGTTCAGTATAACTGGGGCAAAGTAAAGAAGACAAATTGTGGAAAATCCATCTATTCACTTTCCATCAGGAAAGAAAATGGAGAATTCATTCAAGTTTTGGAATTATAGGAATAAACAACAACAACAACAAGATTGCATTTATAGAGCGCCTTTCACGTCGGGAGGACGTCCCAAGGCGCTGTACAGTTGGGTCAGGACCCGAGCAAGGGGGAAATTGGTGAGGGAAGGGAGGGAGCGAGGAGGGGGTAGAGAGTCGAGAGGGGAGCTGAAGGCACGGTCAAAGAGAAAGGTCTTGAGACCGGCTTTGAAGGAGGAAAGGGAGGAAGCGGCGAAGGCACTGGGGGATGGAGTTCCAGAGCCTCGGGGCTGAGAGGCTGAAGGCCCGGCCACCGATGGTAGTGCGGTTGGGGCGGGGGATGTGGAGCAGACCGGAGCCAGAGGAACGGAGGGTACGGGCAGGTAGGTAGGAGGATAGTAGGTCAGAGAGGTAGGAGGGAGCAAGGCCGTGAATGGCCTTGTAGGTGAAGATGAGGATTTTGAATTCGATCCTCTGGGGGATGGGGAGCCAGTGGAGGCGAGCGAGGGTGGGAGTGATGTGGTCCCGAAGCCTGGTGCGGGACAGTACACGAGCTGCAGAGTTCTGAATGACCTGCAGCTTGTGGAGGGAGGTGGCGGGAAGGCCGGCGAGGAGAGAGTTCCCATAGTCCAGCCTTGAGGTGATAAAGGCGTGGACCAGGTTTCAGCAGCGTGAGGGGTGAGGTAGTGCCGTAGTCTGGCGATGTTCCGGAGGTGATGGAAGGCGGTGCCAGTTGTGGTGCGGATATGAGGGAGAAACGACAGCTCAGGGTCGAACAAAACGCCGAGGTTCCTGACTGGCTTTGAGAGGTGGAGAGTGCAGCCTTGGATGCTGATGGTGTCAGCGCCTGAGGTGCGGAGGCGCTGACGTGAGCCAATCAGGAGGGCCTCAGTTTTGCGCACGTTGAGCTGAAGAAAGTTGTCTCTCGTCCAGGACTCGATGTCGGACAGGCAGGCTGTCAGGACATCGGTGGTCGTGGAGTTGAGGGTAGAGGAGGAAAGGTAGAGTTGGGTGTCATCCGCATACATGTGGAAGTTAACCCCATGTCTGCGGATGATGTCACCAAGGGGGAGCATATAGAGGGTGAAGAGGAGGGGACCGAGGACAGAGCCCTGAGGGACACCGCACGAGACAGTATGTTTGTTATAAACAAAGTATAAACTATAATAGTGTTAATTTTAACCTGGAAAGTAGGACAACAGGAAGCAGTTTTTAAAATTCCTGGATAAGGAATTCAGGAAATATTTCTTGCTTAGGGTTTCAACATTTAAAAATAATATGGCACTTCTTGCAGTTAGTTGCAGGTACATCTTTCAGAAATGATCTATGAAACAAACTCTCATCTACTTTGGTTAGCCTGGTCAACAATTCCTCATACAAAATTGATCATTCATGTCACAGCTGTTTTATGGAACATTGCTATATATAAACAGGTTGCCATATTTTGCAGTACATACACATTTTGCAGTAAATCCTGTGAAGCACTTTGAAACATTTTGATGACTTGATAATATGTCATATCATTATTATATTCTTTGAAAAATGAACTTGAGACCTATAATGCAGGAGTACAGAAAGTTATAAGATGACAGTATAGCAATGTTTGATCAGAGATTCAGTAACCAGAGAACAATGAATTGGGGTAATTTGCAACAACAATTTATAGTAAGCAATACAATTGACGTGCAAACTAACATGTTTGGGAAGGGAACAGAGACAGGGTAATTAAGGATGCACACATCAAGGAGTGCAATATTCTGAACTCTACACTAGCAGGATCTGGTCAAGGCAAAGGGAAGGCAAGCTATTAAAAACCTGAGCAAGTTGGGGCTATTGCAAAGTCAGATGACGATGAACCAGGTTTGAGGCTAAGCATCCGAGAGATGAAGCCAGATCAGTGAGTCACATCGCTTTTTAAGGGATCACAAATACACAAAAACAATTCTAAATATTTTTTTGTTGCTGGTTGGGAAGTAATCATTCATAGTTAAAAGGTTCCTCTGAACTGGTGCAATGTTGGGCAAGTCTGGTGTTGGACTTCAGATCCTGATATCCTTGGGGCCTGGAGGGAGCATCATGCTGAGTTGGTGTCTGACCCGACAGGCCATAGTAGAGATTCAGCATTATGAAAGTTGGAAAAATTAACAGAGGGTTTTGATTAGATACAAGGGTTTAAAGAACTATCTGCTGGGAGGAACTGGATTCTTCATTACTTTAATAATAATAATCCTTGAATTTGATATAGCGCTTTTCACGTCGGGAGGACGTCCCAAAGCACTTCACAGAATACACTGTAAAGTGAATTCACTGTACATTTGTGGGCGAACGCGGCAGCCAATTGCGCACAGCAATGTCCCACAAACAGTCGTAGATTGAAAATGACCAATTTATTATTGGTTTTTTTTTTGGAGGGATTATTATTAGGTGTGTGGAATAAGGAAACTTGCCCAAGGTTTCGCCCTGCCTGGAATTGAACTCAGGTCTCTCACTTGCAAAGCGAGTGCTCTAACCACTGAGCTACAGGACTCCACGTGTTGCCTCCATGTTGCCTTGCTAATGTATGAATACTGAATTCTTAAAAGGAGAGATCTTAGAAACAATGCCAGAAACCACCAATTCATCCTTCTGCCCACTTCAGGGTCAAGGAACAAGCTACAAATTGGATTTGCGGAAAAAAGTGAAAACATTGCTAGGAAAAAAGCCTTCAGCCTATTAGTAAGTAACCTGGTGGTGGAGTTAGCTTCATGCCCGGCATTTCACTTTCCCCGCATGAGGGTCTGGAATAAGTCATTGAAAATAGTAAGCATAAGCTTGGAGTCTCCCAGTGCACGAAGGACAGCGGTAAGGGCATGCGGCAGGAGAAAGAGTGAACAAGCAAAGAAATTGATCAAATTCCAATGGAGGAAAATCCATGCAAATGCGCCGACAGTAGCAAAAATGACAATCAAGTAGAGGAAGAGGGCATCAGAATAGATTTTATTTTTCCTCAATAAGGCATAATTGTCCAGGTAAATTGTTCAGTTCTAGAGCTCGATAGTGTGTGTGTTTCTTCGCTCTCCCTAACGATTAATAATAAAATAAGGAAAATCAGTTATTGGGCAGATAAGAAACAGTATCTAACAAATCTTGGAGCAAGTGGCACATAACTCCAGTAAAAGTGGTAACAAAGAAGGTTTGTATAAGTCACAATAAGCCACAAGACAAACACACAAACACAACAGAATAACATCCCACAGGATAAATTCATTCACTAGTTATGTCAGAGCAAGACATTGAACACGTGGGGCATGTTTCATCAAGTACTCCTACACCGGTTACAGTTCCACTCCTCCCAAAGTTAAAAAAAAGACCGATTTCACCTGCCAAGTCACACTTAAAGCGCGTGTCTGCAACAAACAAACAATAACAACAATTTACATTTGCATAGTGCCTTTCAAGCCGCGAGGACATCCCAAGGTGCTGGACAGTCCCTGCACTTATTTGATGTCGCACCTTTTCACACCAGGAAGAAATCACAACAAGAATTTGCATATATATATATATATACACACACATACATTTTTAGGGCAGGGGACATGGCGCAGACCAGTGCCTCAAAGCGCTTCACAAGACTTTGACTGTAATTAATGTTCAAAAAACACGAGTTTAATAAAATGAATCCGGGGGGGAGGAGGGGGGGGGGGGGGGAGTTTTTTTCCGGGGGGGGAATTCTGTCCATTTGCTTGCCCTAATGCAAAGTTGATGAAAGACTGGGTTCACGTTAAATAATAAAACGAGAGAGAAAGAGAAGTCAAAGGCACAATCTGACCCGGGGCTCGGACTCGGGGCCCCGCGGCGGCGGCGGCGGCTCTGAGGGGGGACACAGAGACACACACCGAGCGCGGCCACTGACAGACAGACAGACAGCTGAACCCCCGCAGCTCTGACGGGTCCAGCGAGAGGCGGCCTCGGTGAGGAGCCGCTGCCATTTACCTCAGAGTCGAACCGCTTCCACTCCCGTCACCGAGTGCCCCGGTTGGCGGCCATGTTGCTGTCAGTCACGCCCCGCCCCCCCGCCGCCGCGTGGCACGCTGGGAATTATAGTCCTCCAGGGCCGCTCGCGCCGCCGCCGCCGCCGGAAGTTCGCCGCTGTTGCTGTGCGAGAGGGAGGCGCCTGGCAACGCCCCTCCCCCCCCCCTCCCCTCCTCCTCCTGGAGGAGACAACTGGGAGGCAGCACTGCCCCACAGGACGTTCGTTCATTCGTTCATCTCATGTAATGATAATAATAATAATAATAATAATAATGATGATCATAATCCTTGCATTTGACACAGCGCCTTATCACAATCCTCGAGACGTCCCAAAGCGCTTTGGCCCTGACGTGTGGTGACGGTGCGCCTGCGTTTTGTAGGCCGACGAGGCGGACGGTTTGCGCGCAGCAAACGTCCCGCAAGCAGCCGTGGGATGAATTCCCATGCAATGCAATCAGGAATCTTCCAGTTATCATTTCTGCTTTCTGACCCCCGTGTTACTGAAAATGTAGAGCAATTTGAGCGACTAGTTTTGAGTTTTTTTTTAAAAAACACATTGCAAGTAGGACCGTTTGTTTTTGTGACTTAACCGAAATATAAAGAACTGTACCGCAGGTGGTGATTTTTCTTCTACTTGCTGACCTAGGAAAAAAGATGTAGAGTATCTACTGTGGCAACAGCGCAGAAGGTTAGTATTAAGAGAAAGTGGGAGAGTTGATCTATCCCTCTGGTTGTTACGCTACCATAATGGAAATTAGATTATAGAAAATGTGAGGTGCAACACTGGTTAAGGAAAGTTTGCGCAGAAATCAGATATGGACACGTAAACTCTTTCGGTATAGGTTTCTTCAGTTTTGAAATAGAATATCTTAACAATTTCCCCAAATTCTGCATAATCTTAACTTTAGATTAAGTTAGACAAAATTGCCTTCCACACCAAGACTTAAGAACTCAAGGTATCCTCCCAACCTCCTCTTGGTTTTAATTTATCAAAGAGTGGCATTATTTATGAATCTTTTCTTTTATTGCATATTGCCATTTGACCCAATTTTCGAACTCTTCCGCAAATATATATTTTAAAAAAAGTTAACATTCTTGTCTAGTATGGACTCAGAATGAAAGTTTTTCTTCTAATTGGACTGCCAAGCTTAAATCTAAACAATTGACAATTTTGAAGTTGAAAATGATGATCCCGGAGGTAACGTGATTAAAGGAGAGGCAAATGGAACTTTGCGCCTGTGAACTTTCAGTATTGGGCACAATATCATGAGGGAAGTGTGTAAGGAACTGAGCATTTATATCCACTTCCTGAGCCTGGCTGAGTTGGCAGCACTGACTTTCTGAGTTAGAGGGTTTTATTTTTGAAACATCAAGACTTTGAAATACCTCTGACACTCCAATTGTCAGATGTATTGTCCTTTGTTTGAGATGTTAAACTAAGGTCCAGTTTGCACGTTCAGGTAGACATTAAGGATCCCATGGCAATATTCAGAATTGGCCATTCACGGCCAAATGGTTGTTCATGGGTCATCACTGTGCACAAATTTGCTGCTGCATTTGCCTGCAAAATATGCAGTAGGTCCTGTGAAATGTTTTGAATTGTGCTCCCAATGTGAAAGATGCTATCTTAAATTTAGGGATTATTAATATAATACTGTAATTCTTATGTATAATAATATATATTTGATATAGCACCTTATTACATTGAAAACATCTCAAAGTAACTACTGTTAGGCAGCCAATTTGGTGGGAGATTTGGTCTCAACTACCACCAAAAAGGTGCATGGTGCATGTACACAGAAAAGTGAAAAGGGAGGAAATGGAAGATATTTCTGTATAAAGACCAGATATCTCTATATAACGTGTTAAATACCAATTTCTAGTAAAGTCGCTAACTTATTTTTTAAAATACAGATTTGAAGCTTGTGCAAAGTTATGATCTTCCACCATTGGAAAAACCTGGATTCTACGAAGGTAAAAATAACTCTTTAACACTCTGTCTTTAACTGTATGTCTTAAATGCATAAATATTATTTATGAGTCCAGGTAGCCAATTCATTGCATGAATAATTTGGGGAAGTACATCTTTTTGAGTTATTGTAGTTTAAACGGCAAAGTATATGCTTTTATTAATCATCTTTTTTAATTTGTCCTATAAGAATAAGCTCTGCATTTGATATAGTGCTTTTTTCATGGTGTCAAAACATCTCAAATGCTTCATAGGATTTACATTAAAGTGTAGTGACGGTGTATTTTAGGTAAATGTGTGTACATCAGCCAGAGAGTGAATAACCAATTTTTTATCTAGGGCATTGTTGTCCACGACACTGGGAGAAACTCCCTTCTCTTTTTGAATAGTGCTTTAACGTCCACTTGCACAGATACACGGGACCTTAGTTTAATGTCTTATCCGAAGGATGGTACTTCCAACAATGAAATGCACCCCTAGATAATGCTGAACAATATTAAACCACCTCCAACAAATACTGCTCCCCCAGCATTTCGTTGGTGTATCAGTGAAGACTGTGAGCTCAAAGTCCTGATGTGGGGTTTGTGGCCTCAGTTTGTAGCATTCTTGCCTCGGAGTCAGGAGGTTGTGGGTTCAAGCCCCACGTTGGGACTTGGAATGCGTTTTGTCTATGCTGACACTCCATTGCGGTCCTCAGTGTGTGTTGCATTGATGGAGGTGCTGTCCTTCGGAGGCAATGTTAAATTGAGATTCTGATGATAAATCTGCTGGTTTAAGTAAAACTACAATCTTTGTAGTAACTTTGAAGATTTAACATGAAAAGATCCCATTGCACTATTCAAAAAGAGAAGGAAGTTGTTCCTGGTGTCCTGGCCAACAATTGCCCAAATAGAATTGGTCATTCACTTCATGGCCATTTGTGGGGTATTATTGTATTCAACTTGGCTTCCAGGTTTACCCACAAAACACATAGTCACTTCACTTTGCAGTATATATTATCTAAGTGCTTTGGGACATCCTAATGATCTGAAAGGCACTAAATCACATGCAAGGATTATATTATTTTGAACTCACAACTTTCCGAGACTGGAATGCCAGCTGCAGAGTTGTGGAGAGATCCCTTTAAAGATAATGACAATTAATGTACAACCAATAGGAGGGATTCAGGAAGTATAAAAGTACACTGGGACAGGGTCAGTGGGGTATGGTCCTTGTAGGTTTGAAGTGTGTTGGGTTGAGACACATAAGTATTTGGAGTATTTCTTATGACAAGAATCAGGCTGACACCTGAAAGCATTCTCTGAAAATAACCTGTGTTACAAAGGAAGAATTGCAGTCTTTTGGTTTTTCTAAGAATATAAAATAAAATTGTCACTATCTGGAATTTAGCAATATGAACACATTGGCTGAGATTTTGTGGCTGATAGCTGAAATACATTTTAAAAAGGATATATTTTATTGTAATTAAAATAAAACATAGATTTTTTTTGTTTGGGTGAACTGTATTTAAAACCATTTTACCAGGTTTCTAAACAGATGTACATGGTGATGATTACATAACCTATCATGTTTGTGCTAAGTACTTTAGAAATTAATTTAAAAATAGGTCTATAAACTGCATGACAATAGTCTACAGGAAGTATTGCATCTGTTACAATAGAAATATTGTAAAAATAGAGCCGGTTTAACATGAAAAAGGGTTCAAAAGAGCATGTAAACAAAAGTATCCAGTCTATTTTACCAGGCTAAAATGTTCCTGTTTATTGTTTAATGCATTCTTGTTAGCAATTTGAATTTGCTTCTAGTTCTGTTCACAGCTCAGATTTGCAGAGATAGCTTTTTGTGTTTTGTTCAATATGAATATATTGGCTGAGATTTTGCAGCTGGCAGCTGAGATATTAAATGACCAATGTACTGTACGTGCTGACTTTCAATTAACAACAGACCTTCTCAGAAGATTGATATCAGTTTACACTCGCCTTATCCCAATTTTGTGCATCAGAGGCTCAAATAAAACAATCAGTGAATTGATTGTTTTGCTGTGTGTTAGAATTGCGGTTTCAAAAGATTGTTTTGTGCATTTGTATCTCATCAGCAGTCAGTGCCGATTTGCTCCACAAACAACCCGAAGCCAGGTATTGAACAGAATATTTGTTTACATGCAAATTTTCTTTGATCTCTGTCACCCTGTCCAGTGTTTGCATCAGCAAATGACCTTAAACATGCAGTCTTATTCAGAACATTTTTGGGGAGAAAATAAACACTAACAATTTAAAGAAGTTTATATACTTGCTTTCAATGTGATTATTCTACTAAACATGACATTCATGTCATGTTCGACCTGTTGTAATTACAAAACACCATATGCTACATATGTGGCTATGTTGGGCGCCTATAAACTTTCTAGCTTGAGTTTTAAGGGTCGGGGTGGGGGAGGCGGGAGGGCAGGGTGGGAAGCAGGGAGATCGAAAGCTTGGTCGAAGAGGAGGGTCTTGAGGTGGGTCTTGAAGGTGGCGAGGGAGGGGGTGAGACGGAGGGACTGTGGAATGGAGATCCAAAGGGTGGGTGCGGAGTGGTGGAAGGCCCTTTAGCCGATATCGGGCGAGCAAGGTGGGAGATGTGAAGCAGACCAGAGCCTGCTGAGCGGAGGGAGCAAACAGGATGATAGGGGGTTAGGAGGTCGGAAAGGTAGAGGGGAGCAAGACCATAGATGACTTTGACGGTGAGGACCAGGATCTTGAACTTTATCCTCTGTGTGATGGGATAAAAGGTTAATTGACTTATTACAAGCTCTCTGCACAACTGTAGCACTGCAGTGTTCCTAATTTGATATTCCAGACCACTTGTCCCATTATCCTATTTGATTGTTTTTCAGCATCCGCAAAGTAGCTTTTAATCACTGCTGCATTTGGTCGGCAAAGTTACTTTGGAGGTCTTTCCCCTTTCACTACCCGCGCCGGCCGCTTGCCTCCATTTTCATATCCAAAGTGCACTACATTATCTCAAACTTTGTTAAGTTGAATCTGGTCTGCCTTATATCTGCCCAATTATTTATCTATGACCATTACAATTTTCGATTGATACTGTACCTCTGAGCTTTGTATCATTAGCAATTCTGTTTATACTCCCCATTCTCACGTAGCTGTGCCCTCAACTCCTTGATAAATAATATACCACCTTATTACATTGTCAAGATTTCTTGAAGTGCTTCAAAGGATTTTACTGTGAAGTGTAGTAACTGTATTTGTAGGTGAATGAGGCAGCCAATTTGCACATAGAAATGTCTCAATAACAGACATGAAGCAAATAACCATTTTTTTCTAGAGGATTGTTGATCAGGACATCAGGAGAAACTACCTTCTTTTTTTGAGTAGTGCCATGGAATATTTAATGTCCACCTGAACTGGCAGGTGGAACCTCGAATTAATGTCTCACTGAGGTCAGCACCTTCGACAACACAGGACTGCACTGAAGTGTCAGCCTAGACTGTGAGTTCCAAGTCCTTGATCTTCCAACTGCTGAAGAACATGACTATCACACCATAAAAATTCAGCATAAAACTGCTAGATTTTCCAGCAGGAGAAAAAATATTTTGCAGTATATTGCTTATTTCAAGTTACAATTCTAGCAATATATTTTAAGTAATGCATTTCCTGTTGCTTATTCAGGTGACGATTATAACTTGGAGGAAGAGCAGTCTAATTAGGTTAGTCATTGACATGTATTACTGTTAAGAGCAACATAGATTGTTCATACCTATTCAGGTATTAAGGTCTGTTGATTTTTAAGTGTAGGCTATCATCACATAGGCTTTTAATTCAAAATGAATGATTCTCATTCCAGATGAATGAATGCGATGCCTGTAGTTGATAGTTACAAGTAACTCATACAATGCCTTTGTGGTTGTCACCCAGAGATAAATTGCAGCATTACATCGTCAGCACATTGAACCTACCAATTTCAGTCGTGAACTAACATTGATTGGCCAAAAAATATTGTTCGGGTAATTGGCCCCAAAAAACTTTAATAAGTGTTCATTATTCAAAGTTAATGAAACTGCAGCCAATGGAAAGTAATAACAACAACAACTTGCACGTATATACCACCCTTCATGTGAGGATAACTTCTCAAGAGTGCTTAACATAGGTGGAGCCTGATGCCGAGCCGGGGGGAGGTAACTAGGTTGAAAAGGCAGGTCTCCATGTGTGATCTAAAGACGTAAGGAGGCAAAGTGGAGGGATTAAGGGAGAGAGTTCTACAGTTTTGCCGTGTAGTGGCTGAAAGTGCAGCCGTCGATGGAGGAGCAGAGGGGACGAGGGACATGCAGAAGGCTGGAGCCAAGCAAAGGCGGTGGGTAGTGAGTGGGGAGTAAGCCGGTTAGAGAAGCAGGGAGGTGTCAGGGTGTGAAATTGTAACCTAGTGTGAGGATCTTGAATTTGGCGAGTCTGGCAAGGACTCGGTGATGGGGATGTCGAAGTTTTTAATTAGTTGGATTTTGTGGATAGTGGAGCAGGCGAGGAGTGCTTTAGAATAATCAAGGCAGGAGGTGATGAAAACATGCCTATTAAAACATGTCTTTTAAAAAAGGACTGTATGGACACTAGGCCAATATTGCCGCTCTTTCAGCTACTACACGATAGAACTTTGGAACTCTCTCCCTTAATCCCTCCGCTTTGCCTCCTCCTTCCCTGTCTTTAGATCACACATAAAGACCTGCCTCTTCAACCTAGTTACCTCCCCCGGCTTGGCATCAGGCTCCACCTGTCATAGAGCCTTGAGCTACATGTGGCTCTCAGTATGGCTCACAGCTTCAGCAGAAAGCATGTGGTTCAGATAATTCCTGCTGATAATTTACATACAGAGATGTGTGCATGGCTATTTAAATGTGAAATTTCTCTAGTCAAGCTTTTCGAAAATTCTATTGAATTAGTCATCTAAAATTATAATTGTCTATAACTGTCCGCTCTACTGACTCCTCCTTGTCCCTCAAATCCTCCGCTCCACCATCGGCGTCCTGAAGCTATGGAACTCCCTCCCTCAATCCCTTCGTCTTTTCAGGTTGCGCCTGAAGACCTTTGACTTTGCCTATGGTCACCTTCCCCCTCCCTCTAGCTTGGCATCGGGCTCCACCAAGTGCTCCGGGACACCGCCCGGCTTGGAGGGTGCTATATAAGTGTAGTTGTTGTTTCATTTTTCGACTTGTGTGGCTCAATACAAATCTGAGCTTGAAAGCTCCGCGCTCGGCAATCGATAAAACAGCTTCTTGTCAATATTGGAGAAACATTGTCATTTACTTTTAAATACCTATATGGATCCATTTAATTATATGGAGCAACATTTAGTTGTAATTGGAACGAAGATATGTGTGTGTGGGTATAGGATGTGTGTGTGGAGTGAGGCAGGGTTGCCAGAAATTAAAATAGGTTTGTAGCCCAAAGTCAACTGAACCCAAGTAGCCCAACATTATGAGTTTCCTACTGTAGTATGCGTTAACAGAGTGGCCAATCTAGGTCAGTGCTTTTGAAACTGAGTTTTTTTAAAAAAAGTCTTCATATTGGGAGAGGGGGGAGAGGGGGTGGGTGCGGAGAGGGGGGAAACACATTTTGCGGGTTTAAATTCTTTTAAAAATCAGACATTTGTTCAAAAACAGAAACAAAGAGAGCTGGGAAAACTCGGGACAGGTCAGGCAGAGCCAGAGGCAAGGAAGGAGGAGGCCAGAGCCGCTTCTGAGTAAGGGTCGTGGACCCGAAACGTTGACTCGCTTCCCTTTGGCCATAGCTGCTGCCTGACCTGCTGAGTGTTCCCAACCACTTCTGGTTTTGTTTTCAGATTTCCAGCATCTGCAGTATTTTGTGTTTTGCAGACATCTGCTCAGAGCCTGGTTTTTTTTTCAGATGAAAAGCAACCACGAAAATAACATACCCAATTGGCAACGTTGCAGAGAGGAAGGGGGAGGGGGGAGGGGGAGGAGAGAAAGCCCCTGTGAAAAATAGTGAATGCAATGAAATGAGGTGGGGTCCAGGATCAGCTGGGAGAGGAGATGGGGGGGGAGGGAGGGAGGGACAGACTTGCTGACGCTGTGCGGGGTGACGCTCACCCCATTAGGATGTGTGGACAGGGAGGGAGGGAGAGCTGAGCTGTTGTGTTGCTGAGCTGCTGCTGCTTTCTGTCGCATTGATACAGTCACATCGTCTCCAGTCACTCGCAGGCGACAGGCGAGTGGCAACGCTGTACTGCACACGGTAAGGATTGGTCTCAGCGACCTCCCCCACTCCCCCACTCCCCTCCTTTGCTGCCTCCAGTATAAGTCTCTATTTTATTTATATATATATATATATATATATATAAGTGCTGTGTACCTTTCGCTCGTTGTAAAGCTCAGACCTGCAAATGTCAGGACGTGGATCTATCTATGTGTATATATATATATACTCACACACACACACAAGGTTCTGTAAAATGTATTTCTGTGGGTAATCAAACTGAGGGTCAGTGTGTGGTCACTGAGGGACAGGGCCTCCCTGTGTGTGTGTGTGTGTGTATAAAGCAGCTGACCGCTTGCTGTGGCTCTCGGGCTGTACACGGCTCTCTCTCTCTCTCTCTCTGTGTCTGTAGCACCGGTTTGTTTGCGACAGTTGGAAGGAATAGATTTAAACAACCGAAAGGAAATTGACATAGCAGAGCCTCTGGCGGTGTTCAGGGGTTCGCTTCCACCCAGCGGATCTGGAGCAAACTATTGATTTTGGTGCAGCTCTTTTGCAGTGCAGCAAGAACGGGTATTTTTTTTCCTTAAACCAATAGTTATTTGCAAGCGGTACAAGTGTGGATTAAAATAAGACGCTTCCCTTCAGGTCATTGAGTGGCATTGCACTCGGTTGACCGACTGTATTTCTCGCAATCCTTTTCTGCAGAACGGGTTTCCTGTAATGATGTGACTCGTTAGTTTTAACAGGTTATGATGACCTCTGCAGTCTGCCTTTTGGCAGAAAGCTATAAATCAAAGTGTAATGTGTTTGGTAGCAGCTGCCACTGAAATGTATAGAAGAAGATGCAGAATTCCTGTATTAATCAGACATTTGTATGATGGAGGGGCATATCGAGAATTTGTCTGTAGTGTCTTGAAGGCAATGTTCTAAGTACAGTCAAACCTGTTGAACCAACTACCTCGTATCAAAATCCATCCTTCCAACAGCCCCAACAATTTTTTCTATAATAAACCATCTATTCGGCAACCACCTGTAACACAACTAGTGGCCACTTTTTTTTTAAAAAAGCCCTGTCAGTATACTGATGTCCTTTTCAATGGGCATTAAATACATTAAATAATAATAATCATTGTATTTGATATAGCGCCTTATGTCATTGAGATGCCTCGAAGCACTTCACAGAATATATTGTGAAGTGGATTGACTGTCCAATTCAAGTGTAGCTACTAGTAATGCCCAATTTCCATCGGCCCGCGTGTAGATTCCCCGCTAGACTTTAGTGTATTTACAAATGCAGCTGAGCAGTCCACAGCAACATGGCATTTTTCAGGTCTGGTCAACAACCCAATGAACTTAGAGGCCACCTTTACGTCAAGGCCACTTTGGTCCAACTACCTGAATGGTTGCTGAAAATGTGTTTGACTATATAACACTGAAAGTAAATAAGTGTAACCAGTATAATTGGCATTTTTTTCCAAATGGGTTTCAGTCAATATTTTATATAATTTGTGTTTTTGAAAGTGTATGGAACGTTTGTAATGAGGTTCTAATATTTTGACTGTAAATGTTCTTGTTTGACCATTAATGATGCCAGAAAAACTATTGTTTTATACATTACTGTTTTATACAGTGCCTTTCACAATTAAAAAATATGCACAATATGATGTCACGGCTGGAGCTAACATTTGAGAAAATATTGTATCTCCATTTGCAAGACTTGCTTTGCTGGTTTGGCATAAGACCGGATTTAAATCTGTAATATGCTGGTCTGTGTAGCCTAGTTTTTCTCCATCTTTATCCACGGGGAGCTCTAATAGTCTTTCTCAAAAAATAATGCTTAACTAATGGGGGAAGTAGGAGAAACTTAGAGGAGACCATAGGCATGGGTAAAAGGGAGATGATAATTCTGGCATTTCACATGCAGTCTGTAATGTTGAAATGTTTCAAAACACTTTAGTGAAGTGCAGTGACTGCATATTCGTAGGTGTACACACCAGGCAATTTTAACACTGATGTGAATTGAATGACCATGCTGATGTGAAGGAGAGGGGATTGGGATGGATGGAGGTTGTTGTTGCAGATTAGTTGGACCAAATGGCCTGTTTTGGTGCTGCACAGTCTGTGATTTTATGTAATTCTAACTTGTTCTAAACTTAGATATGTTAGAGGGAGTCAATATAACTTGCATTCAACATTTTTAGTTGCAGAATCCCATTTAAAATAATTGTTTTAGAATCCACTAACAAGCGCTTTCAGTTTGGGGTGGGGGTAACTTTGACTCCTCAATAGTAATGTTTGTGTCTGTGGTAACTAACTTGGGAAGTGAAACAGCTGGCCTAGTGGTGGTAATATTATGAAACCACATACACAAGTCCAGATAGAATTGGCTATCCATGCTTCATAGCTATATAGCTGTACCTAGGTGAAAGGGATAGTTAAGAAGTGTCCTCTAATTCATACACAACTTTAAGAGCTTGGATTAATTTAGTGGACGGTATTTTAAATTCTTCAAAACTAAAGTCTGATTTTTAACATGAATTTTAATCCTTGTGATTTTGGTTCCATTAGCATTGTTGCCCTTTGTTGAGATTTGGTTTTCTGTGCACCAGTAGCTCTGCAGCACCTCAACCAAAATGCTCATTCTTCATAAACGAGTGTTCACGAGTGTTGGAATGTGGGTTGTAACCTTTAAGTCAGCCCTATTCTCACTTAATTCCTCGCAGATGTGCACTTTCTAACGGAGGTCACTGGCTTGTAATCAGAAGTGGGAAACTAGGTTAATTTTTCTTTCTCCCTTCCCACTCTTTGATTCAACTCCCAGAGAATTCCTGCCCCCTGCTAGAGGCATCTAACTCATCATAGGCCAAAGTTTGAATTTGCAGCTTTCTGCTCTGTGTGGCTTATTGTGCACTGGGTAGTGTTTGTATTCAACGGGGAGTTTGAATTTTTTTATTTTGTTGCATTGCGGTTTTGATATCTTTAGAGAAAAACCCATGCTATCACACGTTTTGAGATGGCCCTTGTTGCTATGCAATGTGGGCGACCATTGTGGTGTGTAATTTGGCTGCTGTTTTCGGATCATGAATAAAAAAGATTAGCAGAGGGGAAAAGGTGCCATTGAGTTAAAACTGGGCTGGACACATAGTACTAAAATACAACTTTACTGTACCTTTCTCTGCTACAGACTTTTGCTGAGGTATAGTTCCACATGTACCCGCAGCTCTCTAATTCCTCTGTCCATTCTTTATGTGGGATGGTATTGTTTAATCGCAACAGTTTGAACACATCAGTATAGTTGCTTGCTGGTTGTTCAGTTTCAATTGAGGCATTCAGTTTTAGGAGACACTCCGCTTGTATTGGAAATATTTAACCATAAAATTTGATTCACCTCCTTCCCCTAAGTCTGTTATATAGGAATTTTCAGGGTAAATATGTTTGTTCGTTTATTTAAAAATGGCATAAAGTTTCAAGACAAAATTATATTAAATTAAAAAAATTAAAGATTAACTTCATGAATTACTGATATTATTTGCCTACCTGCATTAAAGCACTTAGTCAGATCCACCTTGGTTTGACTAACTAAATATAAGGACCACTGTGTGCTCGTTTTCAAATATTTTTAAAGTTCAGCAATTTTTTTTAGTGTACCTTAACTGGATACACAAAGATGGGTACAACAAAAACTAATGGGATAGATTATAATAATAATCCTTGTGGACTGATACAACAACAATAAAATTACATTTGTACAGTGCCTTTCATATCGGGAGGACATCCCAAGGCGCTGGATAATCACCTGAGCTGGGGTTCGGAAGCGGGGAGGGTGGAAGGCAAGGGGGAGGGAGGGTGGCTGAAGGCATGGTCGAAGAGGGGGATCTTGAGATGGGTCTTGAGGGGGGTGAGGCAGTGGAGGGCTTTGAAGGTGAGGACCAGATGTTGAACTGTATCCTCTGTGTGATGGGAAGCCAGTGGAGTCGGGCGAGGATGGGGTGATAGGGTCACGGAGCCTGGTGCGGGAGAGGACATGCTCTGCACAATCCTGGATGATCTGCAGCCTATGGAGGGAGGAGTTGGGGAGGCCGACGAGCAGTGAGTTTGCATAATCAAGCCTGGATGTTATGAATGCATGTATGAGGGTTTCGGCGGCCTGCGGTGTGAGATGGTGGAGCCTAGCGATATTGCAGAGGTGGGGAAAGGCAGAGTGGGTCATGGCACAGATGTGGGATAGAAAGGATAGTTGAGGGTCAAACAAGGTTCTGGACTGGCTTAGTAAGGTGGAGGGTGCAACCACGGATGGTGATGCTGTCAGCGCCTGAGGTGTGGAGACGTTGATAGGACCCAATCAGGAGAGCCTCAGTCTTGTTGATGTTCAACTGAAGGAAGTTAGCTCTCATTCAAAACTTGATGTTTGACAGACATTCTGTCAGGACAGCAGTGGTGCTGGAGTCCAGGGTGGGGCAGAAAGGTAGAGTTGGCTGTCATCTGCATATGTGTGGAAGTTGACCCCATTTCTGCGGATGATGCTACCAAGAGGGAGCATATAGATATTGAAGAGGAGGGGACCAAGGAAAGAGCCCTAAGAACACCGCACAAGATGCTGTGGGGCTAGAGGAGAAACTGTACTGTTTGTGGAGATGAAGTGGAGCTGGTATGAGAGGTACAATCTGAACCATTCAAGGAAAGAACCATGAAGGTTGAGGTGAGAGGAGAAGCGGTGTATGAGGATAGAGTGGTCAATGGTATTGAAGGCAGCAGAGAGGTCAAGGAGGACGAGGAGGCAGAGGGAGCCCTGGTCGCAGATGGACAGAATGTCGTTTGTCACTTTGACCAAAGCTGTTTCTGTGCTGTGGGCGGCACGAAAACCCGATTGGAGGGGTTTGTGAAGAGAGTGGCGGCAGAGGAAGGAGTGAAGCTGCAAAGCAACGACTCGTTCCAGGACCTTGGAATGGAAAGGTAGATTGGAGATGGGGCAGTAGTTTTAGAGCAGGGATGGATTCAGGGAGGATAGGAGTAATGATAACATTGAAACATCTCAA